TTTCTTTCAGTCTTCTTTCTCCAATTCCCAATCCTTTTCACTCTATTATATCCTCAATAGCAACCTGTTTAACTGAAGTATCATCAGTTCTCCGTGTAGCTCTCTCAAGGAGTAGCCATTTGTTTTCATACGATATATGGGCTAGGATAGGGTGTTCTCCTTACAACCTACTGTGACATTCAAATCCCTCATAGTAAACTACTCTGCTCTTTTCCATTCTATCCTTATGCCCACTATCATCCAGAATGCTCTCAGAGTTTACATATATGAACTACCTAACACCACAGGAATTTAGTTTCACTATCTCCTTACCACCAATAACCTCTTCCATTCCACTTCAGCCATCTAGTCCTATAGCTATGACTTGGGTCATGACATCACCCATAATAGATTTACCTCCAAAATCATTAATCCCAACATCTTATTGTCTAACAAATTTTCCAGCTAACTTGCTTGTTCAACCCACTTTATGATTTTTTTAAAATTTTGTTTGACAGATAGAGATCACAAGTAGGCAGAGAGGCAGGCAGAGAGGCTGCGGGGAAGCAGGCTCCCTGCTGAGCAGAGAGCCTGATATGGGGCTCGATCCCAGGACCCTGAAATCATTATCTGAGCCGAAGGCAGAGGCTTTAACCCACTGAGCCACAAAGGCAACCCTCAAGCACTTTATGATTAGCTTAATTTGGGATCTCCAATCCACTGATCCTTCTACTTTCTCTGAAACTATTAACTTAACCTACTTTCTTTACTTCTCCTACTATCCCACTTAGATTCCATTGTCTACTTTTTCAGTAACATTCCTGCCAATATCCTTAACTTCCTTGCCTTTCTGTCTTTTCATTATATCCATCTAGCAAAATCCAATGCTTGTTTAATCTCTGCTTTTTCTAGGCCTGTAACTGATCAACAGAGCTCTACTACCAAAAGATAGGGCAGATCATTACATTATAAATTAATGTTATTCAACTTCAAAAAGGGCCCTCAATATTGCCTATAATTCAACCACGTTCTTCTGATCAACTGATACTCTTCCATTTTCTCCAAGGACTTTTTTTTTTTAAATTTATTTATATATGTAAGTAATCTCTACACCCAATATGGGGCTCGAATTCATGACCTCAAGATCAAGAGTATACAAATTCTTCTGAATGAGCCAGCCAAGCGCTCCCCCAAGCACTATTTTCAAACCTTCTCTACTTTACTCAAATTTAAGACCCATCTCTCTTTTCCTGCCTCCATTCTAAATAGGTGAATTCAATATTCACTTTACAAAGAAAACAAAGGCAACCAATGAGAGCTTCTCATCTGCTCCATGCCAAACACACATACCAACCTGTATTTGTATACCATCTTGTTAAAACAGAGGAGCTACCTTTTTCCTCTTCAAGAATCTATCTTGTTCTATCTTCAAATACACTGTTTTCTTACTTTTGAAAATTGCACCTCTCTTCTCATTTTTACACATGATCCTGTCTCAATGAATAAACCAAACACCAAATCCATTCAATTCTATATCCTTCTTCAGCTAAGTCTTTTTTTTTTTTTAAGATTTTATTTATTTATTTGACAGAGAGAGAGATACCACAAGTAGGCAGAGAGGCAAGCGGGGGTTGGGGGTGGCGCAGAAGCAGGCTTCCTGCCAAGTAGAGAGTGCGACATGAGGCTCAATCCCAGGACCCTGAGACCACAACCTGAGCGGAAGGCAGAGGCTTAACCCACTGAGTCACCCAGGCGCTCTTCTTTAGCTATGTCTTAATGGTAGTTTTCATTAGAAAGGAAATCTGCTACACAGGAATACAAAAAGGTACCAACATTGTCATATGTACTTAGAGAGTTTCTAAAAATAAAGTCACATAACTTGGTACTCCTCGAAGTATTTCATGTGTTATGTTCACACAAAAAAGGATGTACTGAACTTAGGAGAACAAGGCTTGGTTAATAAGATATATGGAGGAGAACAAGGCTTGGTTAATAAGATATATGGAGGTAAGTGAAATAAGTAATAGGTTCTACATTCTTGTGTAGAAGTTTTAGAGTTAAGGATGGTCTGTGCAAGCATTACTCTTAATATTAGAGCCATGAGATCCTCATGTTGATATAATGTGCAAAATCACAAGTAAGTAAGATAAACCCTCAGGGGCAGAGTACCACTGGCTGTATGAATTTCACCTTACAAGACAGATTATAGAAGTGCTGGGGAGGTGTGGGAAGAGGGGACAAAATGTGAGGTGATATGAGAGAGGAATATGGTGGTAAAAAAAAAAAAGCAGTCTAAGAAAATGGTAACCAGAATAAATACACCTAAGTGTTTATGAATCCACACAGCCTCGTCTACCCTATTTGGTTAACCAGAGATCCTGAACTGGCAGGCACTAAAAATCATTCTTTTATGTGAACCAACACACACTGCCATCAACTTCAGCAGTCTGCTGCCTTGATTATTATCTCTGCTCTTCGCGGCCATCAAGAAGATCAAGTCCATCCATATGGGAAGAACTGACAGAACAAGGAGTCAAGAGCTTTTGGTTTACTTCACAACTGAAGTTTTTGAAGTTGTTTACTCCTATTATGTCTCCATTTCTGTTACTCTTAATCATTCTTCCACCCATACTAGTCCAGCTTGCAGCCCCACTGTTCAAACAAAATAGCTCTGGTTTATTAATCTTCTTCATAATATTTGACATGACTTATTCCCTTATTCTTCAAACACTCTTTTTTTTTTAAAAATTTGCATGATGTAACACTTTCCTGGCTGTTCTCCTACCTCTCAGATTGCCTTGTTTTTCTTCCCTTTGTTGCCTCATCTTCCTCATTAGGGTTCCTTTTTGGTTCCAACACTCCAGCCACATTGGCCGTTATCATTAATGTTATACATGCTACTTTTCCACTTGCCATAGGAACTTCATCTGTATCTTTTTCTCATCCTGAAACATGCTCCCTTTTCATTCTTTGCCTAACTCCTACCCCACATTCAGATAACCAGTTTCATCAACATTTTCCTTTGGTAAATTTTCTCTAACTAAGGCAAATGGCTCCCTAGCTAAGTCAAACTCCTCTATTACATGGTCTCAGAGCACTACTTCTTCAAAGTAATTATCATAATTATAGTTTGATCAAAAATTCACACAAAATGGGGCACCCTGGTGGTTCAGTTAAGTGGCTTCTTGAATTTGGCTCAGGTCCTGATCTCACAGCTCCTGAGACAGAGCCCTGCATTGGGCTCCAGGCTGAGCTGGAGTCTGCTTGGATATTCTCTTCCTCTGCCCCTTCCCCCACTCATGTATGTGCTCTCTCTCTCTTCCAAATAAATAAATCTTAAAAAAAAAATTCACACAAGACATTAATGCCCAGTTTTCATCTACCAGCTGTAAGTTTCATGAGCATAGGGACTATGTGATTTTATTCTTTATGGTATCTACAGTGCCAACCACTAAACCTAGCAAGTATCAATAATTGTTGAACACATGAACAAGTATCTAAACTCTTGTAGTGCTCTGAATGGAGTTTCTTGTCAATCAAAGGAGTCGAACAAGACAATCTCTGTTCATTTAAACAAACAAATATTTATAGGCTGCTTTAGCATTAGCCAAAGAATGAGGACAGAGTGTTAACAAAAGTAGATATGTTCCCTACCCTTATGGAGCTTACTATCTAAGGAAATGGTCATTAAAGTAATCACACAGGGGCGCCTGGGTGGCTCAGTGGGTTAAAGCCTCTGCTTTCGGCTCAGGTCATGATCCCAGGGTCCTGGGATCGAGCCCCGCATCGGGCTCTCTGCTCAGCAGGGAGCCTGCTTTCCTTCCTCTCTCTCTGCCTGCCTCTCTGCCTACTTGTGATCTCTGTCTGTCAAATAAATTAAAAAAAAAAAGTAATCACACAAATAAATTTATTATTGTGATTTTTATTTATGAACTATAAAATAAAATTCAGTGTAGTATGAACTACGACAGGGGTATTTAATTTATACTCTCAGAAGGCAAAAAAAAGCTCTACCTCCAAAGAGCTGTTTATCTCCTTGTTTTATGCCAGATGGGTTTTTGTTGTTTTTTTTTAAAGATTTATTTATTTATTTGAGAGGTTGAGAGAGAGAGAAAGAGAGAAAGAGTGCGCACATGTGTGAGCAAGGGGAGAGGGAGAGAGAGAATCTCCAGTAGCCTCCATGCTGGGTGGGCACAGAGCCTGATGCAAGCTTGAACTCACAACCCTGAGATCACGACCTGAGCTGAAACCAAGAGTTGGATGCCTAACTGACTGTGCCTCCCAGGCACCCCATGCTGGAAGGTTTTTTATGGTCTCTTTATATTTTCCCTGTTTACTCATTTTTGAATAAGGATATTATAGCCTGGTATTAACTCCAAAATTGTATAAGAGGCATCTCCTTAAATTCCCATTTACCAATGGATGTTATTAGTTTTAACAGGAAGGGAGATGGATATACATTTACAACACAATTTCATGTGCCATTGCCAATATCTATTAATCTGTTTTGGTTTGGAGAATTCTAGTATTTGGATGAAGAAAGAGAAGTCATGGTGGGAACATGTAGGAGGGCCAGCTTCTTAGTTACTTGGCTGGTTACAGACCCTGCATTTCTGAATTCAGGGGCGTAACGGACTTAGGTGTAGAGAAGGTAGGAAAGTGATCAGAGAGTGAGGGTGAGGAACAAAGGAAAATTTTCCTTCCTATTTTCATTACTTACATGTGGCCAAGAAATTCAGTGGCAACCTATTAACTATTATTAACTGTTATTCCTAGTATTATGTGATTGTATCTTTTCTTTCTTTGTACATCATGAAGTATTTTAGTGACAAACTGGGCAAAGCTATCACTGCTGCTAACCAGGTATTATTTTAAACTAGGATTGTTGTTTTCTTTAGAACATAAAATGAAGATGTAGTCAGTATTCATAGTGATTACTATGTTAAGTAGGAAATAACTAGAGAACAAGTACATTAGATCACATTCTAGTTCTATGACATTAAATACATTTTGACACTCACTATTCTGAAATTCCTTGTACTTCTTTTGTCCAGTTAGATTGCTCTTTGTCTCCAAGATGGACCACTTTAGATGGTGGGGCAGTTCTTCCCAAATAAAGCTTCTGTGTTCCTGGAGGTTCTTCCAAGTAAAATCTTAAAAATTAAAATAAAATTAAATTTTATTACCCCCAAATTTATGGTTTAATAAGGTGTTCTAGCAGCATAAGTCCTCAAAGTGAAAAGGTTTCTACATGATGTAACAGCAAAACACCAGACATCCTTTTTTTTTTTTTTTTTAATGGACAGAGGGAGATCACAAATGAACAGAGAGGCAGGCAGAGAGAGAGGAAGGGAAGCAGGCCCCCAGCTGAGCAGAGAGCCCGATGCAGGGCTTGATCCCAGGACTCTGGGATCATGACCTGAGCTGAAGGCAGAGGCTTAACCCACTGAGCCACCCAGGTGTCCCCCAACATCCTTTTTTTAAACTGTAATATGAAATTTTAGAACAAAGAGTTGTAAAAAATTTCAAATATAAAAATTTTATTTTCTCTGAAAAAACTAAATATACAATAAAATATAAATTTTTTAAAAAATTTATTATTATTTATTTGACACAGAGAGAGAGAGAGATCACAAGTAGACAGAGAGGCAGGCAGAGAGAGGAAGGGAAGCAGGCTCCCTGCTGAGCAGAGAGCCCAATGCAGGGCTTGATCCCAAAACCCTGGGATCATGACCTGAGCCGAAGGCAGAGGCTTTAACCCACTGAGCCACCCAGGTGGCCCTAAAATATACATTTTTAAAGAATTAAAAATACTCTCAAATTCAATAAAGTATATTTGCTAAAAATTTTAACTTGATTCTCATTAAACCATTATACCTAAATTCCAGTTGGCAGGAAATATGTGGGATGGAGGACCAAGTTAAATGACACTAAGCAGAGACAATCAGGTAAATCCAGAATTATACAAAATAACTGGCCTGAACTCTTCAAGAAAAGAGGCAGGGAAGTAAACTTAGTTTGCCAGATCCCAGGATATAAAATCAACATACAGAAATCAACTGTATTCCTAGATACTAGCTGGGGAAACCAAAATTTAAAACATGGTATCATCTATAGTTGCTCCAAAATAATTGAAATACTTAGATGGAGCAATTCCTTCTGCCTTATTTTTATTTTTCAAAATTGTTTTAATTATTTTTGTTCTTTGCCTTTCCATATAAATTTTAGAATACATTGTTCTGCATCCATAAAATCTGGGAGAGATTTTGGTAGGAGTGCTTTAAGCCTACAAATTAATTTGGGGAGATTTGGTATCTTTACTATGTTGAGTCTTTTGATCCAAATGAATCTCCATTTATCTCACCATTTATTTCAATTTTTTATTTCTTTCCCCAGTGGTTTGCTTTTTTTTTAGCATACAGATCCTGTATGTAATTTGTTAAATTTATACCTAAGATTGAGACATATATAGCTACAGTAAGAAGACAGTGTGGTACTGGCATAAAAACAGACATACAGATAAATGCAACAAAATGGAAAACTCAGAAATAGACCCACACAAGTATGCTCAACTGATTTTTGAAAAAGGTGTAAAGGCAATCTAATGGAGGAAGAACAGCCTTTTCAACAAATGGGGCTGGAACAACTGAACATTCATTCATAGGCAAATATATGACCCTTGACCTAAACCTCATACCTAATACAAAAATTAATTCACAATGGGTCATGGATTTAAATGTAAAAGGATGAGGTAAAATTATAAAACTTTCTGAAGAAAATATAGAGAAAAGGTATGGGACCTCGGGCTAGGCAAAGTTCTTATACCAAAAGCATGATCTGTAAAAGAAAAAACTGATAAACGGAGCTTCATTAAAAAGGGAGGGGAACTGCATTCTGATGATTAAAAAAGAAAAGACCCCCTCAAGATTTCTCAAGAGCTCCTCAACAAAAGCAGATACCCACAAAAGAAAAAAAATCATAATGGGACTGATCTCTTATCAACAAAATGTTATGACAGAACACAACTGAAGTATGCTCGCAGAAAACTAAGGAAAAAGGACTGGGCCTCTAAAATTCTAAACCTATGTGTGAGGAAAACAAAAATGAACTTTTGGATATGTAATGGCTTATTACATCAGAGAAAATGCAACATTTTCTCTGAAAAAATTACCTTTAAAGGTTCTAGACACATGAAAAACAACAACAATCAGACTAAATTTACATGAAATAAAGATACAAAATGACAAAGAATAAATTGTCAAAATAATCACTGACAAAATGATCATGAACCGAAATAAAATAAGAAACTATTTCTTAAATTGAAGCTATGTACTTTTAAAAATTGATGTATTATTTAAATGAAACCTGGGAGGGGCACGGAAGGTCAGGTTATATATGCTATTCATTCTTGTCAGAAAGAGAAATATATTTGCTAAATAATAACTGCTAGCAAAAAATTAGGATACAGGGCTTTCACATAATTAAAAGGAAAAGAAAGCAAAAGGGAAAAGATAAATGCGTTTAAAATATCTCAGTGAGGTACTATGGTTGAACATTGAATGATGTGATTAAAAGACTTTCATTTTCACTACAGAGTGTAAATATTTTTACAGTCATTCTATCAGTTTTTTTTGTAATTCTTTCAGTTTTAAAAAGTATCATTAAAAGCCATCAAGTAAGCAAAACAAATATAAATTTTAAAAATATACATCAAATCTTACTTACTTAGTTTCTCCATCTGATATACCAACAACTCTAGCTTCTTCAAGATGAGGCCAATTAACAAAGACAGACTTTCCAAGCACGGATGAAGCTATATTTTCTACACACTTAAAGTAAAAGCAGAAAAGTTCACTCAATATTTCAGGTCCAAGAGGTAAGTGTACAAAGGCAAATTAAATAATTAAAACCTGGCTTGTGTTTACAAAGGTCTTTAAAATCAATAAAAACCTCATCTTAATAATTAAGACAGATATAAAATACCATTTGCTCACTCAAGCCATTTATTTCCTACAGTTCCTCCTCTTTTCAACTTTACTCTCCAACTAATTACTCCACCCACTTGAATTCAGTTAGTTTTCCTAATTTGTCTTCTTTAAGTTGTATCTTTATTGCTAACTACTCTTTTTCTTTTTAGTATGTTTCCCAGGATTTCTGGTTGGAGTCTTAATTTTTTTTCCCCTTTCCTTTATTTAAAAAAATATATTTCACTTGTTTTTACCCATCTGCCTTTCTTTAACCCTTTATTTTAGTATGAATCTATTAAAGTTGACCAAGTTTACCTTCCCCTCTCCCAATCCCTTCTTATTAGAGAGGCACTATGACCAACTTAAAGTACTGTTCTACAATATAAACATTATGACACCAGGAAGCTTGCCTCCTTCTCATTTTCTCAACAGCAATGGCACTTATTAGTAAAGGATGGCCCACTGACTTTAATCCTGAATGAAATTACTTAGTGAAAAAATAGGTTCCAGTGAAATTAAACTGAAGAGCACCGATGTATAATGTATTACTGTCCCTAACAATAGCCAACATTACTAGAAATAATGTTTAGCAAGAAACCTAGGTTCTTAGTTCTGCTGCTAACTCTATTTAAGTTTCTCAATTTGTAGAATTAATGATTTTGAATAGATACTTTACAAAATTCTACCCAACTGTACAATTCTATGACCCTATTATGCTCATTGTTATTTTTCTGATGGAAACTGAGAAAAGTGGTAAGAATAGCAGAAATGTCTAGAAAAGGGCTATTATTAATTGTTTCATATCAAATAATCAGATAACAGAATCTAAGAAATCTGACTCCATTTCAGTTTGTAGTTGGTATAATGAAATTAGAACCCTAGACTTAAAATTAGGAATCATGGGTCCAAAGTTGAGTTCTATGTCTTTCCAGCTATAGAATCGTAGGCAAATCATTTAAATCCCACTGAGGCAGAGTTTTCTTATATGAGAATAAGAAATAACATCTACCTCACAATGTTTATTTCGTGATAAAATAATACACACAAAATCTTTTGTAAACTGTAAAATGCTGTATAAATATTCTTTTATATATATATATATATATATATATATATATATATATATATATATATTAAGATTTTATTTATTTATTTGTCAGGGACAGAGGGAGAGAGAGCGAGTGAGCACAGGCAGACAGAGAGGCAGGCAGAGGCAGAGGGGGAAGCAGGCTCCCTGCCGAGCAAGGAGCCCGATGTGGGACTCGATCCCAAGACTCCGAGATCATGACCTGAGCCGAAGGCAGCGGCTTAACCCACTGAGCCACCCAGGCGCCCCTGCATAAATATTCTATATGAAATAATATCTTAGGTAAAAATTCTAGTTTGTTTACAACAACTTTGTAGTAGCAACTGAAATGTAAATACAAATTTTCATTCAGTTCTTTTCTGTTTATTATGCTTAATCATTATTAGCAAATTTTTTTTGAAGATTTTATTTATTTATTTGACAGAGAGAGAGATCACGAGTAGGCAGAGAGGCAGGTAGAAAGAGAGGGGGAAGCAGGCTCCCTGCTGAGCTGAGAGACCAATGCGGGGCTCGATCTCAGGACCCACTGAGCCACCCAGGTGCCCCTAGCAAATATTTCTTTAACAATTACAGATGACTATTTTTAGACTTTTTGCAGCAACTTTTTTTCTTTTTTTAAGATTTTATTTATTTATTTGACAGACAGAGATCACAAGCAGGCAGAGAGGCAGGCAGAGAGAGAGGAGGAAGCAGGCTCCTTGCTGAGCAGAGAGCCCAATGCGGGGCTCGATCCCAGGACCCTGAGATCATGACCTGAGCCAAAGGCAGCGGCTTAACTCACTGAGCCACCCAGGCACCGCTGCAGCAACTTTTAATTAGACATTTCTTAATGTCTAATTAAATGTCTAATTATATGTCTAACATATAAAGCAAAAGAATGACTATTCTGATAAATAAAACAAGTTTCAACATTAGAACAAGGAACCCATAATTATCCTTTTCCCTTCTACACATGTATTTCTTCTCTCATTCTCCTTTAGTTTTTGAAGGAAAAGTTGTCATTTCTCAAATTAATCCTCAGACTAAGCCTAAATCCTCAAAGGCCAATAATGGTCCCTGAAGGACAAATTCACAGACCTTGTTTCAGTTTTTATTCTTGCACTACATGTAGTATCTACTCCATGCTTCTGTGGTATTACTTAACTTGGAAATCATTTTCTCACCTCTGAACACTATAGTCAATTTCACTGGTTCCTTTTCCACCCTTTTAACTATGGGTATTTCTTCATGTTGAGATTTGAACTCTCAGAGTCCATTTTCTTCAGGAAAATGAGCCCTAAGGCCTCAGCCATCACTCCTTGTAAATGACTCATATAGCCCTACCTCCTTCCAAGCTCTAGCTCCAGGTATTGTGTATAAGCAGACTTTCTCCACTGAGGTTCTTCATCTGAACCACAGAACACAAAAAATAATTTGAATATTTTTTTCAATTCTCCAAAGGATGGTACACAATAGTCCCACTCTAAATGTACAGAAAATTAATCTATACATTCAAATGGGTGACTTAGGGCATTAGGGCTTAAATCTCTTATGGAACTCTTGTTGAGAAAGTCTGGCAGGGCAGCGCCAGTTAGACACCCTGGCATCACCTTAAATTCCATCATTACTTATCATTAATCCCCTCAAGCCAGAGACTTTCCCACTTTAACTTCCTTATTCCAATAAAAAACAACCATTTACTAGTTAGGTAGGCTTGACATCTCAGTCATATTTAGTATTTTCTTCCTCTTTTCATCCTCTATGTTTGAATGAATGATGAAACTTGTCAATTTTAACAGTCTTATTCATCTAGATCTATTACTACTTTCAGTTTTTGTCCTTATTACCTAACACTTCTAAACCACAACCTCTTAACTTGCAGGCTTTTTCATTTTCTTCCATTTCTCTTTTGTGCCATTTAGCCTATTATACTGCCACCAAATTAATCCTTATGAAAATACGATTTCAAGGTAACAGTTACGGGAAAACAAAGTCCAAACTGCTTAGCCTGGTATTCAAGGTCCTCCATAATCTGGCCTCAATCTGTTTTTTCAACCTTATCTTCTACTACTTCCCAACACAAGTCCTCTGCTTCAGTCAGGTTTATCTATTCCTTCTCCTCAAATACATCACATTTATTCTAAAAAAAGAAAAAGTATTAAGAAAAATTTCAGACATACAAAAAGGTTAAAAAGAATAAGATAATGTATCACACATTTATTTCCAGCTCATGTTATTCCTTTCAACTAGAATACCCTTCCCCTACTTTTCTCCTCTCTGTGATCTTTCTCTTCACACCCAGCTTAAGCCTAGTCTCATTTATAAGCTTGTACTTAATCTTCAGCTCACACAGTTTATCTTCTTTCCAAAATTCATGAAGTATTTCTTGCTCATTACATCATAATTATATATTTCCTTTAAATTTTATGTAAATGTTTCTTTATTTTATCCTTATTTACTATGAACTTTTGGAATTATTACATGTTATACCTTTTGGTAAACACATTCCAACTTGAACAGCTTAATGCATAATAAGCACCTAATAAATATATAACAAGGAAAATACTTACAAGTTCATCTGATTCTGCATTCACTAAGATTTCTAACATCATGTTTTCTCCACGACTGCTTTGCTGGAATACTTGAACCCCACTCTTCTTCAAAAAAAACTTTAAAAGAATTCAGAGAATTTAATTTCAATCTTTCCCCTTAATCATGTTATATTCAATAAGGTGGAAAATTTTTGCACTAAACAACCACTGACTTTGTGTTTGATGTGTTTCAGGGTAGGAAATCCACAGAAATACAACGCCTTCTGGTCAACCCTGGTTATTTTGTTCTTGCTTATGTCTACACGCCAAGCATCTAATGATATTATTTTATACCTAGAAAATAAATCAAGGCATTTAATTCAAAATTCACACACTACAAGCAATCAGATTTTCAGTATTCCCTTGAATACTTACTTTGCAAGAGTCATCCTTGCTTTTAAGCAAGGGAATGACAATTTGTCTTTTAAGACAGAGACAATATGGAGCAGGACAACCCATATTCTATTATTATAATTGACTAGATGCAACTACACGTGTAGGTTACTGAATGGACGTTTTCACCATTAACTTAAAATAAAACTCCCCCAAGTAAAGGAACATATAAAGCATGTTACAAATCTCCATATCCTCCATGTTCTATAACCCAGATAGAAAAGCAACATTTTATAATGTCTATTCCATCTTTCTCTTTGCATTAACAAAAAGAAAAAGCATAACTGGGATATGTTCATTTTAGGTTCCATCTGGGTAAATTATTTGCAGGGAAAATGAGAAAAAAGAAAAAAAAACAAGGACATTTTAATGAGGAAGAGAAAGTAGAAATGGGTTTGAAGCAAGATATTATAGGACCCCTTTAATTCTTTTTTTCTTCTTTCTGGTTGGGTGGTTAGGAATATAAGAGGCAAAGTCACAGCACATCAAATAATGCTAGGAGCAGACACTGACAATGGAAACAAAAATTCATACATCCTCTTAAAGTGGGGACGGTACAGGTATACACTAGGGAGGAAAAACTAAAAAACAAACAAACAAAAACCCCAACTTTAACAGGAGAGAGAGAAAGAGAGAGAGAAGCAGAATCTGACCACAGCAGAGAACTACAGAAATAACTGTGAGAGGGAGATTCTATGTTCTCCGGCAAGTTGGATACAACTCATTAGCAATTGACTGTAACTATCAAAAATTATTTGTTAATTCTCCAAGTAGATATTCAAAAGCTTCCCCCTCAATGCCCCCCAAAAGGGAGCTCTTTACTATAGTTGAAAAATTACCAAATAACATTACCTTGTGCAACAATGTTCTATGGCAGGGAACTTTTCTGGCCATGGTGAGGGGTAGGTGAACTCTGTGTCTCTATCATACCAGCACATTAGGCACTCACTATGTTGGTTTCTTTTCCTTTCTTCCTTTTTGAGGGAGTGGTTACATGTTTCCATGGCTTCCAACAATCGCTTCTGCATTGAAAGATTGAAGAGAAGAGTTAAAAGTATAAAATTTCTGGCGCCTGGGTGGCTCAGTGGGTTAAAGCCTCTGCCTTCGGCTCAGGTCATGATCCCACGGACCTAGGATCGAGCCCCGCATTGGGCTCTCTGCTTGGCAGGGAGCCTGCTTCCTCCTCTCTCTCTCTGCCTGCCTCTCTACTCACTTCCTACTTGTGATCTCTGTCTGTCAAATAAATAAATAAAATCTTAAAAAAAAAGTATAAAATTTCTATAATCTCAACATACAGAGTAGATCTTTTCCCTCAGTATGCAGAATCATTATTTGTGTTCTTGAAAAATAAAAATCTTAACTAATGGAATTCTTTTCCATTTTATTATATGAAAAACTGTTTCAAAGGCCCCTAGAATATTGTTTGCCACTACAAATTATTCTGAACCTATTATTCCAACAATAGGAACTAACCATGAATAAGAACAGCAGAGAATTGAGGCTCTTGGGTGACTCAGTTGGTTAGGCATCTGCCTTCGGCTCATGTCATCATCCCATTGTCCTGGGTTTGAGGTTGAGCTCCCTGATCAGCGGGGAGTCTGCATCTCCCTCTGCCCCTCCCCCTAGCTTGTGCTTTCTCTCTTGCTCACTCTCAAATAAATAAAATCTTTAAAAAAAACAGCAGAGAATCAAATTTTATTTTTTTTAAAGATTTCATTTATTTATTTGATAGAGAGAGAGAGTGAGAGCAGGAACACAAGCAGGGAGAGTGGGAGAGGGAGAAGCAGCTTTCTTTTCACTGTGCATGGAGCCCGACACGGGGCTCAATCCCAGGACCCTGGGATCATGACCTGAACCGAAGGCAGACATTTAATGATGGAGCCACCTAGGCACCCGAGAATCAAATTTTAAATGTGAATTTACCACAATTATTATAGTTATCATAATTCATAAAGGATTGATCTCTTACTTTACAAATTTTGCCATGGTATAGAAAATGTTTACCTCTCCAAATTATCTCATATATTTAATTAATTTAATTACATATATTTTAATGGCATCCATCAACAGAATGGCCAAAATTAAATAAAGCAGTAATATTCAGGTCTGGAGAGGCAGAGAAGTAGGCACTAAATATTGGTTGAATTAGACTAGTCTTTTTGAAAAAGAATATTCACTAAATATAAAAATATACATTCCCATTAGCCAACTAATCCTGCTTTTGGCAATCTATCTTAAAAAAATAAAATTTCCAATACCTAAGACTGCATAAACAAACAAAAAGAATACATGAATACAAAAGTAGTTTATTATAGCATTACAAATAGTGGCAAAGAACAAGAAGATTCATAAGAATTTATAAAATTAGTACAGATTATTCTCATGTACCTCTCACCCAGCTTTCCCCAATAATATCCTACACGTAGCATCAGTAAATTATCAAAACCAGGACACTGACATGAGTACAATACTATTAACTATACTTATTCAGATTTCACTGGTTTTTGTATGTGATTTTGTGTGTATACAGTGCTATGAAATTTTTATCAATGTGTATAGATTCATATTAACCACCACTAAAACTGGAACACAGAATTGGTACAACATCATAAAGAAATTCCTTATTATTCCTTTATAATCATACCTTATTCCCAACCTTAAACCCTAGCAGTCACTCCATGTTTTATATCATAGTAATTTTATCATTTTAAGAATATTATATAAATGAGGGGCGCCTGGGTGGCTCAGTGGATTAAGCCGCTGCCTTCAGCTCAGGTCATGATCCCAGGGTCCTGGGATCGAGCCCCGCATCGGGCTCTCTGCTCAGCAGGGAGCCTGCTTCCTCCTCTCTCTCTGCCTGCCTCTAACCGACTTGTGATCTCTGTCTGTCAAATAAATAAATAAAATAAATCTTAAAAAAAAAGAATATTATATAAATGAAACAAAGTAATATATAACCTTCTGAGACTGATTTTTCACTCACTGATTTTTTTCACTTAACTAAATTGTTTTCATCCAAGTTGCTTATATCAATAGTTCTTTATATTGCTGAGTAATATTCCACCATATGGATATACTACAATTTATCTACTCACTCATTTAAGGGCATTTGCATTTTTTCCAGTTTGGGATTATTACAAATAAACTGCTCTAAACTTTCGTGTATAGGTTTTCCTGTGTGGACATAATTTTCATTTCTCTGGGATAAATATCCAGTAGTGTAACTGCTGGGTTGAATAGTAAATGTATGTTTAACTCTATTAGAAACTGATGAACTATTTTCCAGACTGGCCTCCTAGACTTTTAGTTCAATAATGATCTATGCCATTTTCAGAACATTTACAGAAAAAGTGGTATAAAGAGGAAAGTAGCAAAATCTAGAAAAGATTATAGAATAAAACAGATAATATTATACCATAATTTCTTGATTCTAAGATACTACTGATATTGTAAATATCAATACAAAAAATCAGTAACCGTTTTTCAGGAAATACATAGTAAATTGAATTTCTATAATTACTGTTCACTGACAATGGTATTTACTTACATCCTATTTTCTTCTCCAATGTCACATTCAAAATTTGAGTTTAATCCTTCTTCACATTCAAAATATAAAAAGTTTTCAAAAATAGGGGCACCTGGGTGGCTCAGTGGGTTAAAGCCTCTGCCTTCGGCTCGGGTCATGTTCTCAGGGTCCTGGGATTGAGCCCTGCATCGGGCTCTCTGCTCAGGAGAGAGCCTGCTTCCCAACCCCCCGCCTGCCTCTCTGCCTACCTGTGATCTCTGTCTGTCAAGTAAATAAATAAAATCTTCAAAAAAATGTATTTTTTGGGGGGCCCTGGGTGGTTCAGTCAGTTAAGCATCCAAATCTTGATATCGGCTCAGGTAATGATTTCAAGCTTGTGGGAGTGAGCCCTACTTTTAGGCTCTGTACTCCATAGGGAGTTTGCTTGAGATTTTCTCTCTCCCTCTGTCCCTCCCCCACTAATTAATACATCTTAAGGAAAAAAATATAGACATAAAATTTTCTAGGTTACTTGGCTCTGTGAATGTATGCATCTTTATAATCTTATAATCTTGAACACTTTAGCATCTTTAGGTAGATAGCATAATGTTAAGGTAGAATGATGTAATGGCTGTTGTAATGTGTTGTGACTCCCATTAGTACTGAAGGACTTATTTGCCCAGATGCTGAAAGTGCTGCTGGCTTGCAACCCTTCCTCAGCTGTCAGCTATCTCTTGGAAATATCTGTAGATGAAAAGTTACCTCACATAAGGTCATGCACCCTTCTGAAATGAAGTCTGGATCCAAGACGGACAGATGAAGGGTATAAAGTCTCAGGCTCTTTACAGCACCTTTGGAGAACTCAAATGGGCCATTCCAGCTTTAGAGTGACTTTCAGAGTCAGTTAAGGCTTTTTTGAGACAGCACTGTAGCGCAGCCTATTCTTTTAACCAATCCTGTTTTTTTCTCTACTCAACATCTTGAGGGTAGCATCAAGAAACCGGAGTAGGGGATCAAAAATCTAGAAGAGACTGCAGAGACATTCCCAGAGAACAGATTTAGGCTCTAATTAGGCTCTATTCAAGGAACAGTATGTGTCTCTGGATATAGGGATTTGCTGCATGCTATTTAGTTGGGATTTCAAAACTGTTATGGATCAGTGATTGTTACGTGCATCCTGTTCCTGCCCTTTTTTGATAGGAGCTACTTATTGTGGTTATCCTGTCATTGTCTGTCCAATACAAAATTGGGGATGTTGGGGAGTATAGATAATGTTTTTCTTTTTTTTAAATTCACAGGTGTCTGAGTCAGGAGAGCTGTCCCTGGGGAGCTGCATTTGAGGAGCTTAATCTACAACTAGACTTGATTTGAAGATGAAATTCTAGGCTTTGAGCCTAGAATTGAGATGAAATTTTTGGGAGAGGTCAGTGTTTTATATTTGAATGGGATACAAATTTTAGCCAAAGGGGGCAGACTACAGTAGATGGTTTGCAAAGATGGCCATAATAATTCCTATCTCGATATGTAAGCTCCTTTAAATGTTAAGAAAGTGGTCTATTTCCCTACTTCTTAAATCCAAGTTGGTCTTATAATTTGCTTTTTTCAAAAGAATGTAATGAAGTGACACTATGCAAACTCCAAAGCTCAAGAGGCTTTGTAGCTCCTGTTCTGAGAATAAACTTGAGTTAGCCTTCTAAAGGGTGAGAGATCACATAGAGGGCTCAGCTCACAACTACCACCACCACCAATCCTATCAGTGAGATCATCTCAAACAACCAACTCCACTAGACTGCAAGGGTGAGGGTGAAAGCAAGGGTGAGAGTATGTATGCCAAACAGCTCAAGTCTGCAGGTAAACTCTTTGTAACACCAGAGTTTGTGTAATAATTTTTCACGAGGCACAAATAGGTTCTATCAATCTCTCAGTTCTGAAAATTTTATCATGTATTCCTATTTAATAATTTCCACCACCATATACTTTCACTGACTATCTTATAACAGGAATTTTTCTTTTTACATCTTATATATCTATTTTTAGGTAACTTCTTGCATATATTTTGAACTTTTGTTTCCAAAAAATATAGAAGAATATGGTAATTCTGCCACTTACAAGTTTTGTTTCAGTGGTAATATCATAATGCAATTTTGTTGAAAATCCCATTGAGGTGTCCAACCTTAAGTTAAAATTCAATCACAATGAACTAAAGTGATAACTGGATGAATAACAATAACTGTCTACATGGAACTAAGTCTGTACACATGCAGGCAATAATGGCTATGTCACAACTTAATCCTGTCTGGTGGCTAGCAAGTGTCTTTTCACATATAACAGGTATTCCTGCTTAAAAACTAATAAGGTGTGAATAAACACTTGTTTCCTCCACTCCATAAACATGTCAGGTTTTTTTTCCCTCCTGAGAGGACACTTTTTTTGATAAATTTATTTTCAGAGCTTTTGGTTCCATTGATTTTTCCTCTATTGTTTGTTCATTTTCTATGGATTTCTGTTCCTATCTTTATTATTTCCTTCATTCTGTTTTGTTTGGGTTTAATTTCTCTTGCATTTTCTTATGGTAGGAAGCTTAGGTAATTTATTGTGAGACTTTTTTTTTTGTTCAGTATAAGCATCTAGAAACTTAAATGCCTCTTAAAACACTACTTTAGCTTCATCACACAGATTATGTTGTGTTATTTCCAAATTTCCTTTGAATTTTTCTTTCTTTTCAATTCTGACAGCTTTTGCTTTATGTATTTGAAGCTCTGTTATAATGTACATGTACATTCAGGATTTTTATATCTTCTTGATGAACTTTTTTTTTTTTTTAAAGTAATCTCTATGTCCAACATGGGGTTTGAACTCACAACCCCAAGATCAAGAGTAACATGCTCTACTGATTGAGTTAGCCAGGTGCCCCAAACTGACTTGACTTTTTAATCTATATGAAATTTCTTCTTGATCTCTGGTAATACTCCTTGGTCCTGAAGTCCTTTTTTCTAATGTTAGTAAAGCCACTCCAACTTTCTTATAATTGGCACACCTAGAAGTTTTTATGCACATAATGAAGAAGGGAGTAGTGAAATCTCATTAATAAAACATAAATGGTGATTAAAACCTATTGCTCATTAATTTATGTGAAATAATCTCATTTAAAATATATGCATATATTGGGATGCCTGGGTGGCTCAGTTGGTTAAGCAGCTGCCTTCGGCTCAGGTCATGATCCCAGCGTCCTGGGATCGAGTCCCATATCGGGCTCTTTTCTCGTCAGGGAGCCTGCTTCTCCCTCTGCCTCTGCCTGCCATTCTGTCTGCCTGTGCTCGCTCTCTCTCCCTCTCTCTCTCTGACAAATAAATAAAATCTTTAAAAAAGTAAAATAAAATAAAATAAAATATATGCATATAAATGGAAAGATGTTCAACATCACTCATGATCAGTGAAATACAAATCAAAACTATAATAAGATACCACCTTCCACCAGTCAGAAGGGCTAAAATTAATAACAAAGGAAATAACATGTGTTGGCAAGAATGTGAAGAAAGGGGAACACTCTTACACTGTCCGTGGGAATGTAAACTGATGCAGCTACTTTGGAAAACTGTATGGAGGTTCCTCAGAAAGTTAAAAACCGAACTACCCTATGATCTGGTAGTAAATATCTTTAGGTATTTACCTAAAGGATATAATAATACTAATTTAAAGGGATAAATGCATCCTGATGTTTATAGCAGCATTATCAACAACAGCCAAACCTTGGAAAGAGCCCAATGTCCATCGACTGATGAATGGATAAAGAAGATGTGGAATATATATATTATGGAATATTACTCAGATTAAAAGAATGAACTCTTGTCATTGCAATGACATAGCTGGAGCTAGAGTATTATGCTAAGTGAAATAAGTCAGAGAAAGACAAATACTATAAGGTTTCACTCATAAGCAGACTTTAAGAAACAAATGAACATGGGGGAAAAAAGTCAAACCAAGAAAACAACTCTTAATTATAGAAAAACTGATGTTTACTGGAGAGGAGGTGGGCAGGGTGTCGGGTTAAGCAGGTGATGAGGATTAAGGAGGACAAGTGTTGTGATGAGCATCAGGTATCCTATGTGATGGATCACCAAATTTCTACACCTGTAACTAATACCACACTAACTGGAATTTAAATAAAAACTTGAAAGAAAGAAAGAATATTCGCATATATATAACTACTTCATGCACTGACCTCATCAATAAAAGGTATTAGTACCACAGCTTCCCATTCCTGTTGTTTCCCATTTAGGTCAGTTTTAAAATCAGGTGGATAATATTCTATAATTGGTGAATCTTCACTGGTCATCAAATGCTATGGAAATATAAAAGAGTAATAGAAATTTAAGAACTAATATCAATATAACTTTTTGTTAATATATTTACAATATTTACTCGTTACAGTTTAAAATTCCTAAGCATAAGCAAAACTAAATTTTTACATCTTAGAAATGCTGCAATATACTTGCTATATTTTGATTTTCAACTATGAGACTTCTAATTTCATAGCTACTCTTACTTTCCCATTGTAGTGACCTAGTTATGTAGCAAAACCATCTTTACTCTGAATTTCAAGTTTACCACTTCTATCTTTCATTGTCTTATCACTCTATAAGGCCCACTTAAATTCTGTTCTCAGACTTAATTTCACAGGTTTCCAACAGTCCTCCATTTTTAACCTTAATTTACTTATGAACTTTCGAGTCCTCATCAGTTGATTTTGGCAAGTAATGTAAGAACTGTATCTAAGATAATTTAAAAAGAAAAAAATTTCTAAAATCCAAGAATCTGGGGTGCTTTGGCTCGAGTCATCATCTCTTATATGAGGAACTCCTAAGTATCAAAAAGGACATATATTTAATTTTAAAACCCACCTGGTAGCATGTAGGAAGTAAATTTTTGCTAGCTGCTGGAAGTACAGCAAGAAGCTGTTCGAATGGCTTAAAAGGTTTTCCTAGTTCAAAATGGATTTTGAGTGTACTGATGTTACGGATATCAGACAGGAAAGGTGCATAATGGTAGGGATAATACCTGTAAAACAAAACTGAGTTTTAAACAATTGGCAACTTTATGCAACAGGTCAATATTAAATATAACCTTTTCCTTTTTAACAACAGAGCAGTAACTCTAAAGAAAAAAAAAAGGTCACCCATAGTACTATCACTTGATTTAAGAAATCAGCATTAGCATATTTAGATCATGTGATGGCAACAAATGTTGTATTTCCTTAATTTTTTTTTAACGATTTAATTTATTTACTTGACAGAGAGAGAGAGCACGTGCGCACAAGCAGGGGGAGCGGCAGGTAGAGGGAGAGGGAGAAGCAGGCTCCTCACCCACTGGGGAGCTGGATGTGGGTCTCGATCCCAGGACCCTGGGATCATGACCTGAGCCACCCAGGCGCCCCTGTATTTCTTTAATTTTTAAGGTATAATTTCACATTTCCAAAATTGGGATGTATCGTGTAATTGAAGGATAGAAATACACATACAAACACACACACACACACATATATTTATATAAATATACGTATATATGTGTGTATACATGTATGTGTATGTATATATAAAATACAATGGTCTTTTAGCTTCTAAGATATTGAGTGTGAATCTTCCAATCAATAGACTCTTAGAATGAGGTACCGAAAAAAAAAAAAAAAAAAAAAAAAGAATGAGGTACTGAGGTAGTCAGAAGACTTTCAGTTAGAACACATGAACTGGAGCCTCTCTCAAGAGCACAGACAGAACAGTGAGTCTGAGCTCGTATGGTTGTTACTAGTTAGCTGTAAGAACTTTTGTATCTTTGAATTGGCATATATATATATATATATATATATATATAGGATTAAACCATTTATCAATCATACACACTATTTTTATTTTTAATGCCTTCCAATCTACAACTACAGGTATAAATATTTTTTTACAAAGCTCCGAACATAACAATTTAAAAAAAATTTCATTGGGGATGCCTGGGTGGCTCAGTTGGTTGGACGACTGCCTTCGGCTCAGGTCATGATGCCGGAGTCCCGGGATAGAGTCCCGCATCGGGCTCCCAGCTCCACGGGGAGTCTGCTTCTCCCTCTGACCTTCTCCTCGCTCATGCTCTCTCTGTCTCTCTCTCAAATAAATAAAATCTTTAAAAAAAAAAACTTCATTGTTTTTAATGTTTGACTAAGGATGCTAAAAAATAAGTATATTATCCCCACAATTATGACATATTTCAAAAAGATGAGAAAGTTTAGGAGGTAGAATAGCATTTAGAATGGAAAATGTATAGACTTTAGAATCAGATAGGCTTAGACTTGATTCTTGGGTGTATGACTTTATAAAGATTACTTTCTGGGGTTCCTGGGGAGCTCAGTTGGTTTAAGTGTCCCTTGATTTTGGCTCAGGTCATGATCTCAGGGTTGTGAGACCAAGCCCTATGTTGGGCTCCATGCTAGGCATGAAGCCTGCTTAAGTTTCTCTTTCTCCCTCTCCCTCTGCCCCTCCATGCTGCTCTCGAAAGAAAGAAAGAAGGACAGACAATAGATTGATTGCTTTCTAAAGTAATAAAGATGACTGGGCCTCATCTGTTAAAGTCAGATAACAATACTTACTTTAAAGTGGTGAGGATTATATGAGAACATGCTTTTCAAGTGCCTGGCCTTATGCATGATACATAATAGGATTAGTTTATACTCACCCTATTAAGAAATGGCAAATCAAGGATTTTTGTCATTAGAATGCTCTTCAGAGAGGCCCTCAGAATTAGGTTATGTATTGCTAAGTTTTTTTAAAAGATTATTTTTTAAAAGATTACAATCTTTTTGTATTATAATCTTTTATGTATTAATATACATAATTTGACCTGGTGTGTTTGGATGTATGGTGCTTTAAAACAAAGCCCACTAAAGGTGTTAGCAAAGCAAAACAAAACAGAACAATTTTCATCACTTAAAAGTCTCTACTTTTCCCTGCATCATATTTTGCTTTGTTATTTTTCTATTCGGATGGTTTAGAAATGTAGACATAACTTTCTGGAATAGGAAACATGGGAGAAATGGAAAAATTATTACTATTTCTAGGAAAAGTAAATAATTCTTCTTTCTTCTTCTTTACCCTTCCCAGTCTTACATTCAAATAACCCATTCTTTAGTAATCACTCTTGACAGAAAAATTTCTTCAAACACACAATAATGTAGCAAAGAATATAATGAACAGCCCTATATAACTATTACTCAGACCTAATAATTATCAAGACTCTGTCACAGTTGATTTATTATGAGAATTTTAAATCCTTAGATTGAAAGAGGTTTCATCATTGGTCATCTGCTAGGGCTGGAAGTATCTGTACACAAAGGTCTTTAAAAAGTACTTTCATATAAGAAAAGATTACCTATATTTCATTTAAACTTGGTTATATGTATCTTTTTAAAAATGCCACCATAAGTAGGAATAAAGAGAAGAGAGATCTCCAAATGAGATTACAGGAGAACAAATCATTATTAAAAAAAAAAAAAATTAAAACTTTATTTTTGTTTGTATTCCTCACCAGCTCCAGGACTGAACTCCATGATAGTAATAGTGCAAAATCCACTGTATTGCCTGAACATAACATGCAGCTTGATCAGCCAGAAAGTCACTGAAAATGGAAAAGAATATTTTCATTATAATGTTAATTTTTGAAGACAGGCCATTTGTCTTTAGAGCATGATATCTGCTGATACACTCTCCCTCACATGTTTTATATAATCAATGAAGAAGCTAAAAATTGTAATCAGAAAAATTCCAAAATAGTATTTAAAACAAATTCCATCCTCTCAGGTTAAAGGTTTGCCTTATAGTTTTCCTAAACTGTCTATCACAATACTTAAACCTACTGTGCATATTTATTCAGTCAATGTACTATGCCTGCAGTTTAAAGTTTGAGGATTTGGCCCATGAAGCTTTCTATAAAGTGGCACTACTACTGTCCTAAATAGTTAGGGTGTGATGGGAGACAGGAATGGGAAACTTTAGCTGGGAGGACGCCTAAGAAAAATCGTAGGAGGAAATCAGGAAGATCACAGATTCTGGTTATAGCAGCTAGAACACACTTTGAAAAATGCTGTATTTACGGAATATTATTCCCTATAATCCTTTCTTTCTCAAAGACCATCATTTAAGGTAAAATACATAAACACACACCCACACACCCATAAAACTTGGACGAAAGCCAAAAAGTAGCCATAAACCTGCTGGTGGCTATTACCAAAATTTAGGTAGAGATGCCAGTTAGAAATTCCAGATCTCAATATTTCTAGGAGGTACACTTTTGAAAATGAAACATATTAAATTTTCATTAAAAAATATGTTTTCATTATTAAAAATCTAGATAATGAAGATAAGCATTTTTAAAAAGATTTTATTTATTTATTTGAGAGAGAGACAGTGAGAGAAAGCACGAGAGGGGAGAAGGTCAGAGGGAGAAGCAGACTCCCCATGGAGCTGGGAGCCCCATGCGGGACTCCATTCCTGCGACTCAGGGATCATGACCTGAATGGAGGGTAGTCGCTCAGCCAACTGAGCCACCCAGGCACCCAAGAAAAGCATTTTTAATCACCTTAGAGCAAACACTATTATATTTGGTATGTTTCCTTTCAGTCTTTTTTCTATGCCTAGGTTGGTTGTTTTTTTGTTCAATATTAATGAGAGTATACTGTATACATGATTTTGTGTCCTGCTTTTGAAATTTGTGCTTAATAATATACTGTAAGTATCTTCCTAAATTGTTACAAACTTCTTATAAATAACAGTTTAGCAGTTCTACAGATTCTGAAGACAGAGTAATGGCAAGATGGTATGATACAGGGGAAGCAGACATGATTATGAGGACAGGTAGATCATTTCTAATTTTGTACTGTTATAAAAAACTGCAATAAACATCCTTGTGTATAAGGATCTTCTGTGTTTAAGTTTATATTTTTAAGACAGATTAATAATTAGAATTATTGTGTCAAAGGGATAAATATATTTTTTTCATAAAGATTTATTTATTTGACAGAGAAAGACACAGCTAGAGAGGGAACAGAAGTAGGGGGAATGGGAGAGAGAGAAGCAGGCTTCCCATGGAGCAGGGAGCTGGACGTGGGGCTTGATCCCAGGATCCTGGGATCATGATCTGAGCCCAGGGCAGACACTTAACAACTGAGCCACCCAGGAGCCCCAAAGGGATAAATATATATTTTTTTTATTTTGTTTATTTATTTGACAGAGAGAGAGAGAGAGAGAGAGATCACAAGTAGGCAGAGAGAGAGGAAGGGAACCAGGCTCCCCGCCTAGCAGAAAGCCCGATGTGGGGCTTGATCCCAGGACCCTGGGATCATGGCCCGAGCCGAAGGCAGAGGCTTTAACCAACTGAGCCACCCAGGTGCCTCCCCAAAGGGATAAATATTTTAAAGACTTCTGGATATGTACTTCCCAAAATAATTTTACCAATTTATATTTTCACCAGTAAATGGGAAAGAATACTACCATCATTGCTTTTGGACCAACACTGAATATAAGAATTTTAAAAGATTTGCTTATTTGTTAGGCAAGCAAATGGTATCATTATTTTCATAAGTCTACATTTTAATATATAAAAAGGAAGGGAAATAAAACAAGATTTGTTAGTTATCAAATTAAGGATTTAGTGCCTACAGCAGATATTACAGTGCTACATAACTGTAATCAAGGAAATATAAGGATTAAGGAATACAATATTAAAAGCATAACTATTTTAAATATTTTATTTCTCAGGTCTTACATGCTAATGGTACTTGACAAAGCTTCAAATGAGCTGGTGAACTGTACTAGAATTCCTATACCTCTAGTTCCTGGAGGTCAGTATGAAAAGAGACAAGAAATACTACATCTAGACTAGAATGGAAGACAGTCTGAGCGTCCATAAAGCAATGTCTGAAAGTCTATCTCTGGGCAGATTATAGAAAAGATCTAATATTTAGTGCTTTATTCTATTAAAAGAAAAGTAAAAATTATAGTATAGAAAATATCTAAGTATAATATCTAAGGAAGTAAAAGGGTACATAGCATTTCATGAAACTCTTCTCTCTCTTATGGAGAAGCAGTCTCATCCAGTGGTTAAAGAATATTAACTGGGGGGCGCCTGGGTGGCTCAGTGGGTTAAGCCTCTGCCTTCGGCTCAGTTCATGATCTCAGGGTCCTGGGATCGAGTCCCGCATCGGGCTCTCTGCTCAGCGGGGAGCCTGCTTCCTCCTCTGTCTCTCTCTCTGCCTGCCTCTCTGCCTGCTTGTGATCTCTCTCTGTGAAATAAATAAATAAAATCTTAAAAAAAAAAAAAAAAAGAATATTAACTGGGGGCACCTAAGCTGACTCAGTCAGTAGAGCATGTGACCCTTGATCTTGAGGTCGTGAGTTTGAGCCCCATGCTGGGTGTAGAGATTACTTAAAAAAATAAACTTAAAAAAGAGAGAGAGAGGATTAACTTAGGAGCCAGATCACCTATGTTCAAATTCTGGTTCTGTCACTGACTATGCCACCTTGGGCAAGTCACTTAACCTTCTCAAATCGTTGGGGTGCCTGGCTGACTCAGTTGGTAGAGTATAAATAAATAAATAAAATCTTTTTAAGAGATTTTATTTACTTATTTGACAGTGAGAGAGGGAACACAAGCAGGGGAAGTGGGAGAGGGAGAAGTAGGCTTCCAGCGGAGCAGGAAGCCTGACATGAGCCTCCATCCCAGGACTCTGGGTTCACAACTTGAGCCAAAGGCAGCCACTTAACGACCGAGCGACCCAAGCACCCAGCATGCAACTCTTGATCTTGGGGTTGTAAGTTCGGGCCCCATACTAGGTGTAGAGACTACTTAAAAATAAAATCTTAAAAAAAAAAATGAACCTGCCTAAAAAAAGCCTTTCCATTCCTTAATTTCTTTTAGTGTAAAATAATAATAACTTATTTATCTTAAAGAATTGTTGTGAGAATTAAGTAAGTCAATATTTTTTAAATGTTTAGAATAACACTTGGTACTTGGTAACCACTAAAGATTTTAATTAAATAAATACAAACATACATAGTTCATACTGTGGGTTGCAATTTAAAAGTATGAAATCTACCATTCTAGAGGTCAACTTCTTAAGGAACTTTTGAGCTAGATTATTAACTTGGGGCTAAGCCAGGTAGCTTTTGAGATGAGTTTGACGGGAGTCTAGAAAATGGAAGGGGAAAAAAGCAAATTGTTTTCTACTTGCCAACTTTTTTTTTTTTTTTAGATTTTATTTTATTTTTAAAATTTTTTTTAAGATTTTATTTATTTGACAGACAGAGATCACAAGTAGGCAGACAGTCAGGTGTGGGGTGGGAATAGGCTCCCAGCTGAGCACAGAGCCTGATACAGGGTTCGATCCCAGGACCCTGGGATCATGACCTGAGCTGAAAACAGAGGCTTTAACCCGCTGAGCTACCCAGGTGCCCCTAAAGATTGTATTTATTTACTTGTCAGAGAGAAAGAGAGAGCGAGTGAGAACAAGCAGTGGGAGTACCAGGCAGAGGAAGAAGCAGGCTCCCTGTTGAGCAGGGAGTCTGACTTGAGACGGTACCAGGACCTTGGGATCATGATCTGAGCTGAAGGTAGACCTCCAACTGACTGAGCCACCCAGGTGTCCCTACTTGGCAACTTTTTTTTACTACAGGAATATAACACATGTCAGTTATCACCTATTCCAAAACCACAGCAGTTGAAAGACTGACACTACAATAATTTCTATAACCAAAAAATTCTCCTCGCCCACTACCTTAACTATCAAAATTATACTGTTTTTTGAAGAACCACAAAATCTAATTTTTTTCTATTTTAAAGTAAAAGCATTGGTAAAAACGTACTCAGACACTACATCAACTCCCATCTTCGTCATGTAATATGTTCTTTTATATTGTCTAAACTCAGTTTCAAATAGGTCATCATCTTCAGTCTCATCTTCTAAATTATCTGGAAAAAAAGCCAGAAAAATAGTGGCTGAAAATTATAAATATTCTGTTTTTCTACCTGTGGTCTGGTAAATATTTATCAAAGCAAATGCTTAAAAACTAACATAGAAATCTATTCTATCCAATATTATTGAATTAGTATTTACTAAGGAAAGATAATTAACTATCCTGTCAAAAAAAAAAAAAAAAACAACAAAGAATACAGAGTTTGTACTCACCCTTAGAAGTTACCACTTCTTCTCCACTTTTGTCTAAAGCAGCCCAACAAATGGCATTTTCCTGGCCCTACAAAAATTACAAATCAACATAAAATTAATGGCAAGATATATTTCAAAGTAAGACAACTGAATACAGAGATTTAAAAAATACTAGAAAGAACTGACTGATCCTTAAGTGACAACGCTGTAAAAGTTCATTCAAAAAATAAAGTGCAAATGCTATGTAAGTGTTTTGGTTTTATATCACTTGTTTTCTAAATCTTTATCACGTAGAACTTAATATTCAGGCCTATCAAAAATATGTAATAGGTAATTCTCACCTATTGAGTTAATATCTATTTGTTTACAATTGAATCCAATGATTACAAATATTACATGTTTTCTGTATCTCTGGATTTCATCATTCTTTTTTTTTTTTAAACAATTTTTTTTTAAAGATTTTGTTTATTTGACACAGATCACAAGTAGGCAGAGGCAGACAGAGAGAGAGGAGGAAGCAGGCTCCCCGCTGAGCAGAGAGCCCAATGTGGGACTTGATCCCAGGACCCTGGGATCATGACCTGAGCCGAAGGCAGAGGCTTTAACCCACTGAGCCACCCAGGTGCCCCAGGATTTCATCATTCTTATAACTGTTTTCTATCTCCACTTCTAAATTTTTCTCTCATGCAACTCATTTGCTTTTCTATAGTTTTCCCATCTCATCACATTCTTCATATTCCTGCCCAGCTGTTTTTCTGCCCTTGTGATCTCAACTCTTCTCTCTTCTATTTTCTGATTGCCTATCTACTGCTAGTGACTTTCATTAGTTCTTCCTACTCCCTTATTCCCATTTCCCTTTGTTCATCCAAACTAGAGTCTCAGCTAACTTCCTGTGCTTGGGCTCTTCCTCTAGTTCCTCCCATTTTGCCAATGTCTTTAATAGTAACTACATATGCCGGCAGTCTTGTGAAGCTTAAGGACTGGGCTGAGATGGGTGGAGCCAGGGATTACTGATGTGTAAGTTTTGTGAGTAAAGTACAGATTCCCAAAAAGTTTCTGAGACTATTTCCTTAAGAGCAAAAACACAGTAGAAGGCAAATGGACGGCTCCTAAGCTTCACTGAGAAAAATCTAATCAAGTAGAAGGACTACACTAGAGAAAATTAGGATAAATGCCCTTTTGGAGCAAAAGTTACTAGCCTTGAACCTAAATGGAACCAGTATGGCAAGGAGAGTGCAGGAAACTCCTCAATTTTATCAGAACTCAATAATTATGAATAGGCTGAGGAAAATTTCAGAAGAGGTTTATTTTCTGAGCTAACACATATAAGACATTCTTTAGAGCTTATTAGTGATGTTTTATAGGGTATTAGCATATTCTGATTCTATTATTTATTTGTTCTAACAATAAAATAATAATTATTTAATTACTGAGCACTAGCATTAGCTATTGTGCTATTATTTACTCTTAAACTAGCCTATTTTTTTAAAAATATTTATTTATTTATTTATTTGACAGACAGAGATCACAAGTAGGCAGAGGCAGGCAGAGAAAGAGAGGCGGGGAAGCAGTCTCCCCCCTGAGCAGAGAGCCTGATGCAGGGCCTGATCCCAGGACCCTGGAATCATGACCTGAGTGCGAGGTAGAGGCTTTAACCCACTGAGCCACCCAGAAGCCCCTTTTTGTTTTGTTTTTTAGATTTTATTTATTTACTTAACAGAGAGAGACACAGTGAGAGAGGGAACACAAGCAGGGGGAATGGAAGGCTTCCACTGAGCAGGGAGCCCCATTAGGGGCCAGATCCTAGGACCCAAGGATCATGATCTGAGCTTAATGACTGAGCCACCCAGGCACCTTGTATATGATTTTATATATAAATTATTTCTAGAGAAAAATCACTGATCTAGTTGATGTCTCACTATTAAATGCTATAAATACCCGCATTTTTAAAAAAGATAACTAATTTTCTGGGCTCTTTTATTTAGAAGTTTTTCTACACTTATTAATAGGATGAATGAACAAAGAAAACACAATGTTCTTCTTCAAAAGTAAAAAATAAGAAGTTGGTTTTTAAACATCAGATTTAAATGACAGGATCTAATAGAGAAGAAACCAAAAAAATATTTTTAAATGTTTAATAGGAGAAAATAAGAAATGAAAATGAAATAAGGCAACCCTAAAAACCATAAGAAAGAAAATGAGGAACAAGGAATATCAGCTTTACTTTTATAGCTAAAAAATTGAATGGACACCTAAAAAAATGAACACCTTTGTTTTTTTCTTTTCCTTGTAGTTCTTGGCTTCTTCTGCTGCAACACCTGCTGCTTCATTGAGGTACTTGTTACCAACTTTGCTTTCAAACCACTTTAGGTCCACAAAAACTTCACTGAAGTGCTCCCGATCAAACTGTACAGAAATATTTAAATTCATTTAAAAATAATTTGAGTATGCCTGGAAAAATACAACCCAAACTTTTACCAGTTGCTACTTCTGGGGCATAGGAAATCAAAGAATGTTACTTTTTTGTGCTCATGGGGACCTCATCTACTAGTCTGAAAATGACAAATAAAAAGCAGATACAAATAAAATTAGGTGAAATTATAAAAGAATGATCAATTGGAGTAGAAGTACCAAAACTTTTTCTTCCGAAACTATGTAACTGGTTTCTGACCACTTATTTCTACCTGGGACAAGAAAATAAAAATATCTAGTTACTTACATCTGATAGTTTCACAAGGTATCTCTCAAATCGAGGTAAGTTGAGATGCCCACTTTCATTAATATAACCTAAAAGGAACAAAATCTAAATTTGTACTAAAAGCTGACACTATTTTTTCTAAACAATTCTATAAAACTCTTTTTATAAAATGTTGAATACTGGCACTCGACTAATCAAGAAAAAACTATATAACTGACTCTAGTTTCTATGAACTTGATGTTATTATAATATAAAATATGTAACAACTAAAGCAAAATAAAAGAAATTCCAGGTTCACATAATAATCCTCCCACATTTCCGACATCTGCTAATAGTTAATTAAATATGTTCTAAAATCTATCCAGATTATTCATTTAATATGTTAACTTGAGAAGAACTAATACCCTGCTATTCTGCTATCTGTTTTATTCAGCATTCACCATTGTTTATCGATTCCTCATTTTAATTGAAAAAGCTTTCCCTATTAAATACTTCAATACCTATCCATTCAGAAAAATGAACTTCTGTGCTTTAATAAGTGAAATCAACAACTTCTGATGGCTTTCTTAAACAATCAAAGGCAGAGATGAGTCAGATATCAATACATGAGGCTTCCTAACTCGTCATTTTCTTTGCTTGTGAGCCACTGAAAACTACAATCCCAGAGCTTGGTGCCTTAGACCAAAGGAAACCCCCAGTTTTTTCCCTAATATAATTGTGCATGCAATAATCTAATAAACTGAGTGAAATTTTTAGGATTAGCTGAGTGCTTTTTAAAGGTAGCCTCCAATGAATATTAAACTTTTCTTACCACCAAGTTCTGGCAGGATGGTAATATATGTTCCATAAAGAAGAGGCAGTGCATCATGATTAATATGTAAATGAGGTAGATGAGGGATAAAATCATTCCCAACAAGAAATCCCATCAAAATCCAATCATCTATTATCCTTTCAATATCATATTTAAAAGTGATCTTGTCCTACAGCAAAATGCAGAAAAAATCAAATCGTATGGAAATTCCTTCTAACACATCTCTGGTTCACAGCTATATTAATACTTACTTTCAGTACTGAAAACTCATAGTCAATATACTCTCTCATTAAAGACAAGTGTAGGAGGTGAAATGTGGTTTCTTCTGGTGCGCATACCCTGTAATTAGTCAGATGATCAACAAAGAATTAATTATATCTTTAAGGCTCAAATTTTAAAATGCAGCAATGCTTAAAATAAAACTTATCATTAGAAAATTATTAATTCTTGTAATCTAGGCATGTAATTTATATGAAATCTCCAAGGTAGTATACACATAAAAGTATAATTATAATAGATGTAACATAAAGTTCAAAATAATTTGTCTGCATTATGCTTTCTGTGGAAAGATGCTCAGAATTAAGAAAGCCTAAATAAGATATAACAGGTATTAGAAACCATGGGATCTGGCCCATTTAAGGTTGGCCACCAGCATAAAGCATACAGATAAGTGAGTATATATACTTTTCTGCCTACTGAAGTACAGTCTAAGGCTTCAATGGTGAGGCACCATCATTTCTTTCCTCTTATCTTTCCCTGGCTTGGTTTAGGGGTCTATATACCTTAGCTATTGGCCAAAATTCCAACTTTAACCAGAAGTAAGAATATAAACTGACAGTTGTACTTTAAAAAGATCAGATACCCAGAGCAAGTGGATTAGCCCAGGAATACAAGGACAGCTCAACATAAGAAAATAAATCAGTGTAATAGATCACACTAATAAACAAAGGAAAAAATACCATATAATCAACTAGCAAAGAAAACATTTATCAAAATCAATACCCTTCTATGATAAAAGTACTCAGCTAAGTAGGGATAGAAGGGAATCTCCTTAATATAAAAAAGGGAATTTATGAAAAATTCACATCTAATATGTTGATGGTAGAAGACCGAAGGCCTTCCTCCTAAGAACAGGAACAAGACAAGGATGCCTATTTTCACTATAGCTATTCAGCAGCATTGTACTTGAAGTCCAAGCCAGCGCAATCAGGCAAGCAAAGAAATAAGAGATACACAAATTGAAAAAGAAGAAAACTATCTCTATTTACAGATGCCATGATTCCATATACAGAAAATCCCACAGAATCCACAAAAGCTACTAGGACCAAAAAATGAATTCAGTATAACTGTAGGAAGCAAGATCAACACATAAAAATCAGCTGTGTTTCTACATTCCAGCAACAAATAACCCAAAAAAGAAATTAAGAAACAATTCCATTTAGAATACCATCCAAAAGAATAAAACACTTAGGAATAAACTTGACCAAGAAGACAAAAGCAAAAAAACAGAGGCAAAAAACTGAACTTAGGGAAGTTTTCAGTTATAAGATAAATAAGTCCTGGAGATGTAATTAATGTATAGCATGGTGACTGCATTAATTTTTTTTAAATAAAAGGAGAAACAAGTAAGAAAAAAAAGCTGGCAAAAGACTTATATACTAAAACTACAAAATGCTGCAGAAAAAAATTAAAGAATGGAAAAACATTCTGCATTAATGGATTAGAAGGCTTATGACGAAGCTGTAAATAGTAGCCAAAAAAATCTATACAGTCAATGTCATCACAATCAAAATCCCGATGATGTTTTCCACAAAAACAAACAAAAAAAATCCTAAAAACTGTTAATCTCACAAGACTCCAAATAGCCAAAATAATCCTGAAAAAGGAGAACAAAGTTGGAGGTCTTACCCTTTCTGATTTCAAAACTTATTACAAAGTTTCAGTAATCAAAATACTTCACTACCAGTGGTACTGGCATAAAGACAAACATAAAGATCAATTCAATAGAATACAGAGCCCGGAAATAAACCCTTGCATAAATGGTCAGGCAATTTTTGACCAAGGTGCCAAGACAATTCAATGGGGGAAAAGATAGTCTCTTCAACAAGTGGATTTTGGAAAACTGATATTCACATGCAAAAGAATGAAGCTGACCCTTACCTTACATCATATACAGAATTAACATGGATCAAAGACCTAAGTGTAAGGGCTAAAACTACTAAACTCTTAAAATGGGGAAAAGCTTTATAACATTAGATCTGGCAATTTCTTGGCATTATAAGTACAAGAAATAAAAGAGAAAAATAAACTGGACATTGGCATAATTAAAAAAATTTCGTACATCAAATGACACTAAAAGCAGAGTAAAAAGTCAACTGTGGAATGGGAGAAAATTTTTACAGATCATTTTTCTGTTAGATGATTACTGTCCTTAATTTAATTGCTATTCTTTCTTTTCCTTATGTGCAATATAATTTACCTTTGTGTCTTTTTGCCACCAAACCGAACCTCTTCTCTTAAAAGAGAGAAATGTGCCTCATGACTTGTTAATCCAAGCATAATCTGTTGAAAAATGATTAAAAAGTTTCTATTCTCTAATTTTTATAGTATCAGGTTTACAGAAACAAACAACTAAAAAGCATTTCAATATAGAAAAACATATGCTTATTTAGTAAAAAACCAATTTATTAGCACATTAAATATACAAATTTCAAAATCTGACCCACTTGTTAGTTATGGGATAAAGTGTGTTTTTCTAAGAAAAAATGTTTACCTTAGACTCACATGACCTTTATAACTGCCATTCTGTCCACACACACCCCCCCACCACACCAAATCCCCAAAACCTTCTCTTGGTTTTCACACCTTTCCATTTGCCAGAGGGAGTGGATAAGAAATTAGAGACTGTAGCTCTTCCATGACAGATGAATGTAGTATTCTTCTAGAGTCCAGAATGCCTCTAATATGTGAAAATTAAAAAAAACTGGAAAAGGGCATTTTCATTTAATCTTCTCATATAGTATTCTAATGCCCAAAGAAGTCAAATAGTCTAGTGAGACATATCAACCACTGCGACATATATTGTTTATTTTATTTCAATCCTGATTCAAATAAAACAACATCAAAAATTTACAAAGCCATCAGGGAAATGAGAATACCAAAGGGTTATTTGTATATAAAACACTGATTGTTAATTTTTATTTTATGTAGGATAATGGCATTATGGTTATTTTTTTTTTAAACAATCCTTCTCCTTTAGAGAAACATTACAAAATATTTACAGACCAAGTGATACAATGTCTGGGATATACTTCAAGAGTCAAGGGGAGTAGGAAAAAGGAGAGAGATGGTTAGGAATAAGAAAATGAAAATTAATATTTAAGGTAAATTATTTAAAGCTAAAAATTATTTAAGAAGGATAAAGGACATAGGAAGTTTCATTATATTGTACTCTTTACTTTATGTTTGAAAATTTCCATAATAAAAAGTTAAAACAAAAAAAGCACAGTAAATTTATCTGGGTCTCGGAGTTATCAGATCAGGTATTATTGAAAGTTATATATCAAGCATGAGGGTAAAAAGCGTGCTCTACCTGATCTCGACAGACTATTCACAGCACTAGGATCAGTCAAGTATGAAGACTACAGAGATCTGTTGATCATAAACTATAGCAAAAGAGTTCATTTTCCAATTGTTTTAGAACCTTGCTAATGGCAGAAGTAGCAATCCTTATTATGTCTAAAATATTTGTTTCCACAGCGAGAAAGCTTCTTACATAAGTCTCTTAGAGATTTAATTATAACGGCATAAGGTTATAATAACAATAAACATTATACCTACCAAGTCAGCATCTAAACCATAAAGACAATGTCTGGTGTTGGGATCATGATCTGGCTTTGCTTTCTCGGATCTGATAAATTCCATGATTTTATGCTCTCCTTCTCCGGGGGTCTAAATATATGTTTAAAAAAAATGTGGTAATAACGCTATGCTTTAAAATATTAAATTTTTAAAAAACCCTTTAAATAAAAAAAGATAATAACCTCATGGCCTGAGAAGTAGATGGTAACTCCTTGCCACGACTTATCTGTAGAAATTTTCATATTTACAAAATACTTCAGATGTTCATGTAACCTGGCCATGAATTCAGTCCCTATAAATAAAAAGTTTTAAAAAGTTTATAATCTGAGAGAGACATAAAAAGAGTGAGTTCCCAGGGACAACATGAACTTGGATCTGAGTATGCAGGAAATAGCTAGGTGTAAGATCTCTAAAGAAGTCAACACCCCTCACGCTTATCTTGAAAAGTAAGTAATTTTGTACCTTTCTCTTGCAAATATTACAACTGTTTCTCATTTCTCCGCTCACCCTAAAATGAAGTTAATGTCACATAGATAAGTCAAGAAATTTTACTACTGCTTCAAACTATGCTTTACACATTTTCATACCAGTTTTAACTCCCTAATGAAACTCAATCTTCTATCTCCTCTGCAGGATTCTGAACTTTTTTTTTTAAAGGCACGCAGGTTTAGATTGCTAATAATAACAACTATTATTATTACTATTATTTACCTGGAAAATTATTATTATTCTAGAAACTGAGTCTATGGTGATTATGTTTCAGAAAAAGTTTAGATGGTCAAGAGTCAATGCAATGCAGTCTTAAACCATAATTAGGATAAAACTGGTTACTAAATCAAGCAATTATGATAAAGGCACTTAAATGAAAGATAAATTACCACAGTTAGTAAAGAATTCATGAGTAAATAAGATTTTAAGATTTTTTTCTGAAGTAAAGGAGTGCAATGATGTTAGACAAAGCTCTAATAAGTACAGTGTACGTTGTTGCAAAGTTAAATTAAACTTATTATACTGATAAATTCATTAAAATCCTAGAATTTTTAGCTATACTTTAAGAAGTACAATAGTAAGTGCTCTAGACTAGGAGAATGGGCTTCTTATCCTGAATACGATAGCTAGCTACATGAAGGTGGGTGAGCCACAACCTCACTGGATCAGTTTTCGTACAAATAAATGGTGGGAGTACAGGGGATCTTTTAAGATCCTTCCAGGTTTGGAGTTCTATGCATCTGGGACAGTCCTGTCCACAACTGCTCTTATCGACATCTGTAAATCTCTAGAGTGGGTCTTCATAGGAGCACTTATAATCAAGATGACCAAAACATCTCCTGAGAAGACACAACTGGGAAAATAGCAATTGGAATTTTAAGGACAAATTAAGCAAAGGCTGTAATACATTTGAAAAACAAAAACAAAAACAAAAAAAAACCCCTTACATTTACATTTAAATCTCTCAGAATTTGAGGTGCCTGGGTGACTCAGTTGGCTAACTGTCTGTTTTATGCTCAGGTCATAATCCCAGGGTCCTGGGATTGAGACTCATGTCTGGCTCCCTGCTGAGCAGGGAGCCTGCTTCTCCCTCTCCCTCTCCCTCCGCGCCCCCCTCCTCTGCTCATGTTCTCTCTCTCAGATGAATAAATAAATAAATAAAATCTTTTTTTTTTTTTTAAATCAATCTCTCAGAATTTTTCTCTCAGTGAATTTACCTGGTGTAATACAGTTGGAATCAAATCTGGCCTCTGTAGGAAGAGTTTCTCCTTTTTCTAATGCCTTTTTAATTTTGTCTTCTGCCTCCTTTGCTGACCTTAAATGTTAAGGAAAAAAAAATCTCAAGGTTTCTGGGAAAAAGTATAGTTCTTTATATAAAGTAAACTGTTACTTAGATGCGTTTGTAACTAAAATACTAATTAATCAATTTGAGGTTCAACACAGAATATAAGTTTTAAAATTATTATAATTGATAAAGATGGGCCTCAGAATTGTTCATTTTTACTAATTTAAAGAATTGAGTTTTTTAGAAAAAGGACTATAGAAGTAGACATTACAACAGTATAAAACTGACACAGAATGTTAGGAATATTTATAAAGTAATTCTCTTCTTATCTTAAGTATATAGCAAGTCGATTCTACAAACAACCTCAAAAGTTGAGCATTAAACATTCATTATATATACTGCATTTTACATTTAATAGTAACATCAAACAAGAAGTACATTATTACAATGATCTAAGAATATTATATAAAAAATAACTATAAAATTGCAATGGATATCTTTGGGGTTCCTCATAAAAACATTTAAAATATAAGCCCAATAACATTAATGACATCATTTGTCAAATACCTCATTTTTTAGGCAATAGGACTTACTAGAAAGACCATGTGTTTTAAAGTTGGACAGACCTAAGTCTGAATATAGGCCTCTCGATTCCTATTCTGCTTCTCCTAGTACCCATTTGTGGCATACTGTATGCCACTGGCATGTAAGTTAATAAGCTCTGCTTTATGTACATTTTCTACAGCTTTGCTACTAGCTCTACCTACTGTGCCCTGTGGAATTATATTTCTATGATAAACAAAATCTTTTTCATATGTAACCTCTCTCTTACCAAACTCAATATAACAAAAACTCTGAAGATATCAATTTATTTGTAATTTTTCCAACAGAAATTTTTTTTCTTCTTTTCTCAGCTTCCTTCCTTTGATTGAACAAATTCAATGTTATTATTATGTGACAAGTTTGGGGAATATAACAGAAATGATTCCCATTTTCACAGAGCTTACACTCTAGTGGGGAGAAAGAGAACTTAACAGCCATAATGTTTAATGTGGCTGCAACACAGAGATATTTGGGGCAGGGACAATGAAAGACTATTAAATCAATGTAGGTGGAAGGTTTAGAATACCAGCAGTAAAGATGAAAAGTAAATATGTATGTCAAATTTAAGAGACTGGTAAGTAGGATTGGGTGTGCAGAATGAGGAAGAAGAAGTCCAAATTACTCTTGGACTTTTGGGTTGAGCAGCTATTTGCATGGTGTTAACATTCACTGAACTAGGGAACAGAAGGAAGGCAGCTTTGAAGTGGTCTTCAGTTCTGAACATGTTAAACCTGAAATGTATCTGCAGTATCCAAAAGGAGATATTTATGAGACATTTGGATATTTAGGGGTTCTGGAGAGAGATATCCATCAGGAAGATAAATTGAGGAGTCATCAGTATAGACACAGTAGTTAAAACAACTAGATAAGATCACTCAGGACCAATGATAGAAACTTAAGTAAAATCAATACATTAAAAAAAAAGGCAAAGGAACAAGATAACAAGGAGACCAAGAACGTGCAGAGAGAGTGTGGTTACATAAAGATCACGGAAAGGAAGTTTAAGAATGAAAGAATCGTCACACTGTTAAATACTATAGGTAAATGAAGTAATTTATAGAGAATAATTCTTTAGATTTAGTCATAAGGAGGCTATTTGTAATCTTGTAAGGAAGTTTTAGTAGAGGGGTGAAAGCCAGATGGCAGCAGATTTGAAGTAAGAGATGCATAAAGATTATAATTAAAGATTATGAATGGAGAAAACAGTATCTGTGGAGAATGAGAAAAAGCTGACTAGGGGATTTTAGGGAAACACAGAATGCTCAATGCCAGCACAAAATAGTTAGTAAATGCTTGTCCATTCTCTTAGTTTGTCTTCTGATATTGGAGAGGTTAGAAACCTAAAAAATTAAGATCTCAGGCTTCCTTGCAGCTAGGTGAGTGGATATAACTTAGATTCTATCAGATGCATCCACAAAAGGTTCAGAAGGTAGAAGTGTGGTGAAATCATACAGACTTCACCACACTGAAGGAAGTTGAGGAAGAGGATTTGTGGGGTGTGTGTTTCATTATAGTAGAAGGCATCTCAATATTCAGCAGTTTTGTAGATGCTGAGAAGCAAAGTATAGGGCAGATCTACCAGGTACACTGGGGCTCTTGTGCTAACAGATAGAGTGGTGGCTTCTTGATTGCTGAATTGTAACTAAAGTGATACAATTTTGGAGCCAATAGTTCAGGTAATATCTTCTTAATCCCTGGATCACAACTAAAGCAATAAATTCCTGAACAACCTGTTCTGGTGGGGGCCTCTGAATTCACCTTCTTGAATGTTGTAGTAATAGTGCCACTGGTGGGTCAATTCTGTGGTGCTGTTCTGAAGTCATTCTTGAAGGCTCACCTAAATTCCCATCCTTTTGGCTCTTACAATGATTTTTATAAGCACCTAATTCTTTGTAATATATATACTTAAAATAGGTAGGCTTCTATTTCTGCAAATGAACAATGACTGATATAGTGGGCTTAAATAATCCTTTCTTAACACTAGATTTTCTAGCCCAGTAGCTCCCCCAAACTAGTTTAACAAATACCAGGGGAATCTAGTAAAAATCGTTTCCAGGTTCCAATTTTTGAGATTCAAATTAATTAAGTTTGGGTGGCACCAGAGGTTCTGAATTTTAGTAAGAGATGGTCCTTGTCTTGATGGTCGTTTTATAGTCGTTCAAGTATCTTCAAGATCTTTTCTCTTTTGGTGTTTAAATCACTACTTTTTACTATTCTTTTCTCATTTTCACTGCTAGCCTTCCCTATGGTACCCTCCCACTTTCCTTGATGATTTTTGTATTTGATTCATAGGTGCTCTATCCACTCCTTTACCTGTTCTTGTGATGAAACAATTCATTATGCTAACAACCCATCAAATGTACTGGACTCAGAGTCTTCCCAACAATTCTAACAACCCTCTTAACTTTACTTATCTACTCATAAATAAGGACACAGCATGATCTCATTGTTTTTTAAAACTATTCCACATGCCCAGGATTTTGACTTTAAAACTTTATGTGCCTCTTCTCATCCTGTTACACCCAATGCAACACATTGGGGATGATAGTATCTCAAGTGTCCTAACTCAGCTCTCTTCTCATATTCCATCAATCACCTTCTAGTCTCACTTGCTTTTCTGTCCAATTTGGACCCATGTTCACTCAGAGTCAGCATCTGGCCCAGGGTCTGGGCATTGAACAAAGTTTGTTGAATTAAACTGTCAATGTTTCTATTAGAACAATCTCTCATTTCACCCTGTAGTTCTCTAGTTCAAGAAAGACTAAGAGAGGAGCTTTCTCTACTACAGTTGACCCTTGAACAACACAGGTTTGAACTGAGTGGGTCCACTTGTACATGAATCTTTTTTTCAATAAATACAATATAGTACTGTAAATCTATTTTCTTTTCCGTATGATTTTCTTAATAACATCTTCTTTCCTCTAAGCTTACTATAAGAATATGGTATATAATACATACAACATACAAAGAATGTTTTATGGTTTAAGTTATTGCTAAGGCTTCTAGTAAACAATAGGCTATTAAGATTTGGGGGAGTTAAATGCAAATTTTTGACTGTGTGGGGCCTGGCATCCGTTACCAGTGCATTGTTCAAGAGTCAACTCTACTGCTATTTCTAAATTACCATGGAGAAGTTTGAAAAATTTATGACAGAGAGCAAAAGTAACTACACAGCCCAACATATGCTTTGAGAAGGACTCCTCACTTCAATGAATTACTAATTTGTTTATTCAATTGATAAAATGTGACATAACCAGTTATTTCCTTTTCTGGAGGAATTTAAGCAGAAAAGAAACATGAACAGAAGATGAGGTCATTAAGTCAATTATCTTTAAAATAAAACATTTTATTAATCTAAGTAGTATTCTAAAATAAGCCACAAATGTTTTACCTAAAACGCCTCCCCCGCTGCTGGTTCATTTTTGCTCGAGGAGCCACACCATCAACAGCCATAAAGAACACTTTCCTAGGTTTAATAATGCGAAACAACACCTCCAAGTAGTGAAAAATATCAGTAAAGATTTTATCATCAGAAATTCTGAAGTGAACATCATCATCATTAGGATGGGAACATTGATGTATGATTCCATTCATATCCAGGTACAAGTTGTCAAATTCAGGAATCTAAGAAATAAAGAAAAATGACCAAGATTGTTACTATAATCAATGATGAATATTTAAGCAGCTGGGAAAAGCAGCTGATAAAAAGCAGGATATAGGGGCATTATTATATAAAAACTGAGAAAATAATCACAGTTGCATAAAGAAAGTAAAGAAAAAATGCATAGGAGAAATTGGTAAGATGGAGACATATAACTATATAATGCATCAACAGCTTGATCAAATTTACTGTCGGGAAATTATCTACTTATTTAAAATGCCCAATGGGAAAATACCAAATGAAGTACTTGGTTCATTTGGTACTCAAACTATTAGTTTGACATCAAATTCTTAAAGTATCAATTTCCCCTATAAATGGGTAACATAATGCCCATTTAAAAGGCTCTTTGTACATGGTCATTAAAAGATTTTACAAATGATTTAAACCCTTGTATATTTGGTTTCACAGAGTCACCGATTTGGTCGTATTAACTAAGAAAGCTTAGATTATACCAAGAAATTAAGGAAATTTTGAAAACAGATTTCTTGTTTTTGACATGTGGATTAAAAATTTCCTAAACTTTGGCTAACAGGTGTCTAGTTTCATAAATAACAGGTGTCTACTTTTATAAAAAGATTTTATGGCTTGGGCTCTCTTGATCTTTCCTTTATTTAAATGTTTGTAATCAAGCAAGAGGAACACTACGAAAACAAATCTACACTAACAAGGAAATGAAGTGGGCACAACTTAATAGTTATAATATCTAATGTAATTAAAGATTTTGAGTCTGTCTTACATACTAACTGAAGAAAAGTTATTTTAAATTTTCAGACATAGAAACATAATGAACTTCTCTTATATAAACTTAATGAAAGCCATCTCTGAAACAATTCAAATTTTACCATAGGTACAGAAATGATACATTTTCCTCTTACTGAGAAAATGGCAGGCCTTTGAGTTTGGGGAGTGAAAAGTTTTGGCCTCTGAATCAATGAACACCATAAAAACATACTGACAAAACACTCATTTTATGGGATGGTACCAGGCACCACATAAAAAAATGTTAAATGTCCTTACTGAGTAATAGGCTCAAATGACATGAAAATTGTGATAATGAGATTTTAAAAGTATATTCAAGATTTACTGTTTGCTTCAAAAAATCTGAAAACCTCAACCAAAATCTCTAAGTAAGAACTTTACAAAACGATTCCAAAAAATACCTAGGAGAATAAACATGCAAGAAAGAACATTTTAAAAGAAAAGTAAATGAAGGAATCTACTTTATATGATATTAAAAATTATAACAGTTTGATTGAACAAAATAGTTTACAAATAGTAAAAGTGTGGGATGACTGGGTGGCTCAGTGGGTTAAATGTCTGCCTTTGGCTCAGGTCATGATCCCAGGGTCCTGCGCTCTCTGCTCAGTGTGGAGCCTACTTCTCCCTCTCCCTCTGTCCGTTTGTGCGTACTCTCCCCCCTGCCCCTACCAAATAAATTAACAAAATTCTCAAAAAAGAAAAGTAGTAGTTCAAGTGTATATAGAAATTTAGTACCTAAGAGGCATTTCAAACCAGTGAAAGGGATGGGGCACCTAGCTAACTATCTGGAAATAAAACTGTATCTCATCTTATAACACAATAAATTCCAGAAAGATTAAAAATGTTAATGTGAGAAATATATGTAAAAAATTATATACAAATATTTTGGTGATTTTAGGATGGGGAAAGCCAAAACTCATAAACCAAACAAATGATGGACTTGGCCATCTATATTTTTTACATCTATAGCGTTAAAAAAAGTTTCAAAAACAAGTTTAAACTGAAAATGACAAAATGCAGGGAAATGCTCGCAAATTAGGACAAAGTCAGCATTCCCAACATACAAAAAAATCCTCAAATAAAAAAGAGCAAATTTTAAAAGTAAGCACGGAAAATGCACAGCAATTCAAAAAAGAGACACAGAAGTCTGATAAACATACGAAAAGATGTTCAACATCCCCAAATTTCAAATTAAAATAATATGTCATTTTCCCCAGCATGTTAGCAAAGATTAGAAAAAATGATATTACACAGTTACTGGCAAGGTTTTGGGAAAATAGATATTTCCTATGTTATCAAAAGTGATAGTTGGCATTTAATAAGCACTCATTAGGTGCCAAACATTGAGCCAAACATATTCAATGTCTCACTAAATTATGATAAATTTAAAAGAAAAATATTTGGATTCCCCATTTTGCAGAAGAAGAAAATCACAGAGATAGAAAAGAGAGAAATGGCATTTACACGCAGTAGTCTGGATGGGAATATAAATTGGTGTAATTAATCGAAAGTATATATCAAAACCTGAAGCATTTTCTTTTCTTTTCTTTTTCTTTAAAGATTCTATTTATTTGAGAGAGAGAGAGAAAGAGAGAGTGAGAGAGCGCCAGCAGGGGGAATGGAAGGCAGAGGGAGAGGGAGAAGCAGACTCCCCACTGAGCAGGGAGCCTGACGCAGGGCTGGATCCTAGGACCTGAGATCATGACCTGAGCTGAAGGCAGATGCTTAACCAACTGAGCCACTCAGGCACCCCCCAGGATTTCTACTACTTGAAATTTATTCTGAGAAATAATCAGAAATGTGCACAAAGATGTAAGCACAAGGATATTAATGGCAGTGCTATTTACAAGAGATAAAAAATGAAATCAAAATGCCTAATAGGAAACTGATGATTGTACATCCATACAACAGAATACTACACAGTAATTACAAATTATGATATACATTCATATTTTACATTAGATAATGTGTAAAATACAGATAGTCAAATGACAAAAGTAGGCTATAAAAGAGGGGGCATATTATTATCCCATTTACAGTAAATATTTATCTATATGTACATCTACATATAAACATTAGGAAAATACAGGAACAAGACGTTACTGGTAGTTAACCATTGATGCTGGAATTTCAGTTGTTTATTTTCCTTTGGAAGATATAAGAGCTTTTACAGCTCTCAGTACTATATTAATTTTTACATAATAAGTACATACTTCATAATCTGAAAAAAATAATTATCCTTTTAGAAAAGAAATTTTAAAAAAATTCTCTTACATTTCAGATTAGTAAGAAAAATACAGGATGAGTAACCATTGACTAATTCAGTGAAGAAAATGAGAACATGCAATAAAATCTTGCTCCTTCACAAACATAATACTGGGGGGAAAAAAAGAAAGAGAGAGAGGCAAACCAAGAAACAGACTCTTAACTATAGAGAACTGAGGACTGCGGGAGGGAAGGTGGGTGGAGGGGTGTGGTGGGGGGGTGGGTTAAATAGGGGAAGGGGACTAAGGAGGGTACGTGTTATGATGAGCACTGGTTGTTGTATATAAGTGACAAATCAATAATTCTACACCTGAAGCTAGTATTATACTGTTTGTTAACTAACTGGAATTTAAATAAAAACAGGAAAAAAACCCCAAACACAATACTGAGTTATTATATCTGTAAAATAGAAGTTCTGACATTATTTTATACTTTCACCTCTCCTCAACCCCTGTACCTAATTAGTCACTTAGGTTTCATTTATGGTTTTGTTTTTTAAATGTAACTTCCAAAATGTCTCTAGAATCCTACCCTCTTAAGTATTCCCATTGTGTTAGGCAATCTCATAATTTTCTCCATCCCCAGATTTCCTGTCCTAATTCAAGCACTCAGTTTTCCAACTAGACTGCTTGCTTTTTTTCCCTCCCACCACAGTGTAGCTAGACATTTTTCTAATACATAATCTAATCATGTTGCTTCCATACTTAAACCCATATGATACTAAAAACCTTTAATACCATAAAAGATTCTGTATGACTTGGCTGTTATCTCTCCCACCAATTCCATGTTCTTTCCTGTTTGCATATACAGTCTTAAGCTAAATATACAGTACATTACCTAGAAAGCCGTAGATGTACTGGGCTGTTCCAAACCTCTATGACTTAACAGATACTGCTACTACTTCCTGAAACGCTTCTCTTTCCTTTATGCTCTTTCTTCCACTGATGTTGCAGATTTTGACTCCGCTTTCAAGATCCAGCTCAGTATCTTTGGAAGCTTTCCTATACTTACCCAAAGAGAAATGATGCTCCCTTCTCTATGTCACACTCTTATTTGTTTTTGTGTTCCCAATGCATACGAGAATGCCAGATATATATATATATAGAGAGAGAGAGAGAGAGAGAGAGAGAGAGATATCTCTCTCTCTCTCTCTCTATATATATATATATATTACATACCCTACTCATTTTTGTTGAACACTTAAGTGTGATGTCTGTCCTTTCCTACTAAACTGTGAGTTCCTCAAAGCAAGGTCTCTGATTTGAGGAATTCACAGTTTAGCAGAAAAGGACAGAAATTACACTTAAGTATTTGGTCATGTTCAGAACTCTTGGTATACTACCTGACACAAAGTAGTGAGTAGAAATATTTAATAATAAACAGTGAAGCTCTTCCTTTATTAGATGTGATAGCACATGTAGGCTATAACACTTACTTTGAATATGCATTCATACTGCTTTAAATTGTGGTTAAGTATTAACATTTCAGTATCTAATTTTCTCAAAACAGTTTCTTTTAGCTAGTATAACTTTGTATCCTACTTAGTGCTGCTGCAAAATGTCTTTTTCATTAAGACAATATGTATCTGACTATTAAAGAGAGCTGCTGGCAATTCTTTTGTCCCAGTTCTTTAATCCTATTTATCTTAAACAATTCCAAGATTTTATTGCTTCAATTCATTTTTTAATATGCATGTTTTGTTTTTATTTATTTTTTTAGAGAGAGGGGAAGGGGCAGAGGGAGAGAGAATCCTAGCAGGCTTCATGCCCAACATAGATCTAGCTCAATCTCACAACCTTAAGATCATGACCTGAGCCAAAATCAAGAATCGGAAGCATAACTGACTGAGCCACTCAGGCACCCCTTTAATATGCATGTTTTAAAACATACTACATATACAATGTATATTTTAATATGCAATGTTTTTATATACTATGTATTTTTATATGTTGTATTAGTATGCTATGATTAATAAATTCATTTGCTTAATAAATATTTACTGAAGACCTATTATGTACCACAAAAGTAGGGATGAAGTTTGTAATGAGGAACATATATATCTGACGAAAACTTAACCTTTACAAAACAAAGGTCACACAATTAAGATTATAAACTCTTACAGCATATGCAGTTCTCCTGTGATTAAAATCTAGTACAGTGCTGGGGGGCTCCTGGATGGCTCAGTGGGTTAAGCCTCTGCCTTTGGCTCAGGTCATGATCTCAGGGTCCTGGGCTCGAGCCCCTCTTTGGGCTCTCTGCTCCGCAGGGAGCTGCTTCCCCCACCCCTCTCTGCCTGCCTCTCTGCCTACTCGTGATCTCTGTCCAATAAATAAATAAAATCTTTTTTAAAAATCTAATACAGTGCTACTATAACAGCTAAAATATGGGGCACCTGTGTGCCTCAGTCAGTTAAGCATCTCAGTCTTGATTTTGGCTCGGGTCATGATCTCATGATTGTGAGCTCGAGCCCCACTCCACCCTGGGCATGAAGCCTGCTTAGCATTCTCTCCCACTCTCTCTTCCCCTCCTTGCTGGTGAGTGTGCTCTCTCTCTCTCTCTCTCTCTCTCTCTAATAAATAAATAAATAAATAATAATAATAAGGTAAGATCTGTTAAGCACTTGCCATGTACTAGACAGATTTAAATGCTTAATAGTCGACCCTTGAACAACCCAAGTTTGAACTGCATGGGTCCATTTATATGCGGATTTTTTTTCAATACAGTACAGTACTATAAATGTATTTTCTATTTTCCTATGATTTTCTTAACACATTCTTTTCTCTAGCTTATTTTATTGTAAGAATACAATACACAATATATAATAACATATAAAATATGTGTTAATTGACTGTTTATGTTTTCAGTAAGGCTTCAGTCAACACTAGGCTATTAGGAGTTAGGTTTTGGGCAAGTCAAAGTTATTCTTGGGTTTTTAACTATGCTGGGGTTGGCGGGGGGTCGGTGCTCCTAATACCCACATTTTCAAGAGTCAACTTATGTGCATTCACTTACTTAACTATAGCAATCCTAATATTATTATCTCCATTTTGTAGCTGACAAAACTGAGTCACAAAAAGATTGAGTTACTCACCCATAGCTAGTAAAGTAAGTGTTGGGGCTAAATTTGAAACCAAGCAGAACTGCTCTAGAGCAGTATTTCTTAATCTTTCTTTCACTATTGTCCTTCTTCCAGGTAGGTCTTTAGACTTGTTTTTTTTCCTAATCATCACCCTCCAACGGAATTTCAATACCACAGCTATACTGTATATCTGTTTACATACTGTGGCACTTCAATATGCAAACCCCCACCCTCTCAACAATTTTGGTCCCTTAAGGAACGATATTGTTCCTGTTCATAATTTGTACTCTTGTGCCTGCATTTTTAAAAACTATGGTAAAATGTTCATTAAAACTTTCCTATCTTAACATTTTTAAGTGTACATGTTATTCCAGTGCCTGCACTTTTAAAGCCAGTCTTCTATGCATTTTGCTACAAATTGCACAGGAGACACAAGCTAATATTTCCATTTTAAAGTGTTTGCTCTTGTATAGGGAGCATATCTGTTTCATCCTTTACTATATCTGCCTCAGAATGATGCCTTGGCAAGTCAGTTATGAGAGTTCATAGGAGGCCAGCTACTCCTGCCCTTTAAAACCCCTTAGTTATAAATACTGCTACGTAACTGGTCTACATAGTCTTTTAGTGAATATTCTGCAGTTCTCCTGTTCTCAGGTCCATCAGATATTGCCACATTGCTTCCTTTTTCCTCTTGCAGGGATGCCAACACCAACTGGGTCTAGAGGCTATTGGTAGTTTGTCCCTACCTACTTGTATTTGGGTGTTCACAGGGATATATTACATGGTTTTTTCATAAATGTTCTATGGATTTCAAACATTGCTATCAAGTTGTTCCTTTTTTTTAAAGATTTTATTTATTTGTCAGAGAGAGAGCACAAACAGGGGGAGCGGCAGGCAGAAGGAGAAGCAGGCTCCTCACTGAGCAAGGAGCCTGATGTGGGACTTGACTCCAGGACCCTGACCTAAGCCAAAGGCAGACACTTAACCGACTGAGCTACACAGGCATCCCTAGTTGTTCTGTTTTTGTGCGAGGAATCAAAGAGACCAAAAATGATGTTGTTGTCTTTACCACCACCATCTTCCCACAATTTACTCCTCCTCCCATTCTCTTCCTCCCAGGACTAGCTTTTGAATCATGGTGACTTAGGTTCACCGGCTTTTAAATATTGCTTATGAGAATAGCTGCTAACCCTTTATTATATTTGCTCTCTTTGTTGTGGTGGTCGTTGTTAACTACAAGAATCAAACATTTTTGAAAGACACCGTTTTGATAAGCCGTTTTAAACTTATCCTTTTAAACCTATCGTATGACTGCCTTAAAGAGATTATTTTTGTTCTTCAATAAAAAAAGTCCTCAGGATGGTGAGAAGCCAAGACAGCTTTACCAAACCAAATTCTGCACCAAAGAGTACAGAACAAAAATATTAATGAACAAATTATATGTTATCAAGTCAATCCAAATAACGATCACATTTTTTTCACTTTGGAGATGATAGTGACTGATACATGGCAGGCACTCAGAATTTTCTTGAATGAATGAGCCAGGAAAAGCCAAAGTTGGTTGTCTCTGTTTCTGAAATGTACCAGACATCTTTTTTTACCCTTTTCTCTGGAAAGAACTATCTTCTAAATCTGACTCAACCCATGTTTCAAATAAATGAAAAATAAACTACTGTTTTGGAATTTTTTGTAAGCTTTTCTTCATTTACCAAATCTGACAGGAATTCAACAACAAAATAACCCTTCTGGAATTTTCACACTATCTTCATGCTTATTGTACTTAAAAAAAAAAAAAGATTAAACCCCAATTTAATAAACAGCATGATGGTGTTGGCCGGATTATCTCCCCTCACTACTAATAAAATGTTATCCATCAAAACTGATTCATTAGCTACACAAACATCAAAACTGATTTTCCTGTAAGATATAAAATGGACAAGAGATCTACCAAAATCATTAAATGTGACAAACACTAACATATCACCCAAAGTCTAGTTTACCTAATAGATAACTGTTTACTATTTCTCCCCACAATTCCTATATATAAACATTTTTGGAATCCACACAAAACCCTTGCACTGGGATATTATTACATTCCGGATTACAAGCCAGATATTATTATTACTAGTATTATGCTCTAACAATCAATTTCTCTTTCTCTTTCTCTCCCTCTCTGTCACACACGCACACTCGCACACGAAGTCTCCAAATAACTGCCCCTGCCCGTCCAAGTGTATTATTGTTTCTCCTGGAACACGGTATTCGTACGACCTTTGAGATAATCGAAAAAGAGTAACGAAAGGTATCATAAATATGAACCATCAGCTACGTCAAGAAGTCTAGGCGTTGGGGGTGGGGTGGGATGCAGGTCCCGATAAGGGAAAGTAAACAAGGTGACTCAACCGCGGAGGCACTGATTATATTGTTCGTACGCTGGTCTGTTGCTTTCTGGGGGGGGATGGGGGGACTTCGAATACCTGCTCCGGCTCTGCTGCCTCTATAAGGGAATATGCAGCTCCCCGGGCAGGAAAGGAAAGAACTCACTAAAATGCTCCTGCCCTGGACTTAATTTCCGAATCGCGGACGGCCCTACCCCGCAGCAGAGCTGTCAGAACTGCAGCGATGCCCGCGGCTCTGCCCACAGAAATGAAACCCACGTCTTCGCCCCCATTCTGATAGTCAGGGTATCTTCAAACCTTCTCCTCCCTTCCCTTCACCGATCATGGGGCAGACGAGGAGCAGAAAGAGGAGGCTGGGGAGCCCTGTCCCAGGAAGAGGGAGGGCCTCGGGGCCCGGGTTCTCGGCCTCCTAATCCGCTGCCTCCTAGCTCACCCACCTGATGCTCTTTCACCACTTCACTGAGGCAGGGATACCGCTCCGAGATCCATCGGTAAAACTTGGGGACTCCCATTTCGACCGTCAACGCTAATTCCAGTCAGGGCCAAACCGAAACCAAACGCCCCGCCGGGGCCTAAGCCTCTGCCTCCGGCCGTCGCTCCGCGGATGACAACACACCGCCCGCCCGACCATAGAGAGCAGTCGCCGGGCCTAGAGCGGCCGATTTCAGGCCGCTTCCCCGGGGCGGGGCTCTAATCCCGGTTCTCGCTCTCCGCCGAGCTCCCTGGTGGCTGCGTTTAAGAGCGCGGGGACGTGTGGGTGTGTTATATTTAGTTCTGGCAATGTCGGTTGACCGAGCTGTGCTTTATAAGTAGACGTGGGAATGGTATGAACACCTCACGGACCTGCTGGAAGAGTTCTGGAACAGGGTATTTGTCCTGCTACTGTGCCCTGGCATTACTAATCTCAGTATTTTTCAACACAGATTTGGAAAGATCTGGTGATTTCTTTGGTTTAGTTTATTTTGTTTGGGGAAGGGGAAGTTTTTTTTCTGAGGAATATAACCCTATATCAAAACTTCTTTTAAAAACTTTTTCCCGCAAATTATTTGTTGGAAAAAATGTCTAATTTCCTTCCACCCCACCCAGTTTCCTCCTTAAGTCAACATTAGACGCCCCTCAGAACTATGGTATACTTTCACATTCTTGTCTCTTGGTTTTCATGTTTTTCTCCCATCACACTCTAAGCCCGTACAGAAAAGTACAATATCGAGAACTTAAGTGAAATTGTTATAATTTTTCCATTTATTTGAATTGCCTCATTATTTTGTAAATATTGTGAATTATTTTACATCAGCAAGAAAATTTACAAAAAATGAGACATTAAAATCTTTAATTACAAAATCTTGTGAAATTTTAAGTGTCTTCTAAGACTACTAGATTCTGTTTTCTGGTAAACTGTCCATATGACAGATCTTTAAAATTATTTAGTTTTCATATTCATGCCCCTTGGTTTATATTTTTTTCTATTACATTTTCAACCATACAAAAGTTTTATTAAGTGAACTTTATGTGTGCATTATGTTTATATCTGTTTTATTAGACTAGACTGTCCGTTCCTAGAAGGCAGGGAAGGTAGCTCTGTGCAGGAATCTAGCATAGTGCTGTGCCTACAGCATTTATTCAACGTATTTTCTGTTCAAATGAATCCTTTTGCTAGCTAGTACTTAAAACTCATAAAAGTTATAAAATGAAATTGGCTGGCTTATTTCTTGTAAATATATATTTCTAGTACAGAAAAACATAAGATGTCCCATTTCTCCAGTTATAATGAACAATATATATTAAGAAAGTAGTTTAGGGGTGCCTGGGTGGCTCAGTTGGTAAAGCAAGCATCTGCCTTCAGCTCATGATCCTGGAATCCCTGGATGGAGTCCCAAGTTAAGCTCCCTGCTCTATGGGGAGTCTGCTTCTCCCTCTCCCTCTGCCCCCTCTACTTGTTCTCTCTCAAATAAATAAATCTTAAAAAAAAAAAAAAAAAGGCAGTTTATTTCTTAACAACATATATTATTTTAAATATTATTAACAATAAAGTAGTTAATACCAGTTGCTCCAAGAACATAAACTTATGCTGTACTTTGGAACTGAATAAACAATCACAGGTAATACCAAAATGTACTAATTTTAGATTATTTGCATATTCTTTGAAGTAATTTCATTTCACATATATGGGGTCCAACCAAGGTACATTTGGCACAGTAAGTTTTCATCAGTAGCTTCTTGTATCAGGTAATGCACATGTCCTTCGATAGATAATGGCAGCCCTGTCACTCTGTTTCGGGTCTTGATTACACCTTGCAGTCGCTGCTCGATGTCAAGAACATGGGTCTTGGCCTAATAAGAAGAAATTGAAAATCATAAGTGCTAAGAACCTAATAACACCTGAATGCTGATAATTTGAAATTACTACTTTTTGGGTGTTTGACAAATGTTTACGTCATTTTGTGAATCATTACCCCTTTTTAGGAGCAAAACAGGCAAAAGAGAGAAGAAATGAAACAAATGCAACTTGAGATACTGATTTTGAGGCTTGCAATGTTGATTTAGCATCAACTGCATGGACATTTTTCTGGACTATGTGAAATACCTGGGAATCTCTTCAACACTACAATTCTAGAAAAATAATAATTTAAAAAATGTACCCCAAAATGTTAGGACTAAAACATTTGAATGAATATCCTAATAATAGCAACAATACTCTAAATGCCTAATATTTAGATTATGTTACTAAGTGCAAATAGAGTTCTAAGCTACCTGGAATGGTACACATTTCTCTCAATAAGAAAGCTTATCAAAATGCAAAAATAAGAATGTTATTAGAAAAACAATCCTCAATCTATTCTCACTTAATAAAAATGATTATCTGCAAACTTTGAGACTTCAACCAATGTTAGTAAGGAGTAAATTGCCATATATTCAAGTTGATACCTGCTGCTTTGTAAGTTCAGGCAATCTATTTGCAAGCTTTTCCCACTGTATCTCATAATTCTAAACCGTCTGAAGTTAAACAAATGTGTCTTGAACTTTATTACACAAATTATAATAATGTTAACATTAGTAATGACAATAAAGAAAACTTATTGGCACCTTCATACTAAAGAACTACATTTCAGGGGTACCTGGGTGGCTCCATTGGTTAAGCGTCCAACTACTGATTTTGGCTCAGGCCATGATCTCAAGGTTGTGAGATCTGAGTCACATTTCAGGCTCAGTGCTGGGCATGGAGCTTGCTTAAGATTCTCTTGTCTCCCTCTTCCTCTGCCCCTTCCCCTCCCTTTCTCTCTTAAAAAAAAAATAGTAATAATAATAAAATAAAGAACTAGATTTTCAGAGTATTCAATGGCCAGTCACTGACAGTATTTTGAGTCAATTCTCATTGATAGAGACATACTGTGTCACCTCATATCAAGCTACACCTTCTACTAACCTTTTCATTGACAACCTCCCCAGTTTCATTCAGTGGTGCTTTGGAATGTCCTTTCACTGGTTTACTCCATTCCACAAGAGGATCATGTAGAAAAGTTTTTAAGACACTAAAATGTAAATAAATATAATACAATGTTATCTTTGTAAAAAGAATTGTCACTACTAGTCAACATTTAGGTGAAAAATAAGGATGAGAAGCTAATGGTAATATTCTTATAATACACATTAGTACTGCATCATTAAGATGTGAACTTACTGTTTTGGACTGAGGGGTTGAAAGGAAAGTGAGGAAAGGGGAAGATAGACGGGGATCTGAGGTGCTCTTGGAGAATAGAGCAAGGTGAGTTCTGTGTGCCATTTCTAAATGCATACAGTACACTTCATATAAACTACCTATGGAAAAACCCACTCAGATTTCTTGTAGGCACCTCAAATTTAGTATTTCCAAAACAAAACTCATTACCCTTTCCCAAACTATTTCACCAGTATTCCCCAAATCGGTAAAGAACAACATTATTCACTCATTTGTCCTAAACAAAAGTCTAGGAATCACCCTTGGCTCTCCTTCCTTATAACACTCAATTCTACCTACTAAATCCCTTTAGAATCTATTTACCTTCATTTCTGCTGTCACTACCTCATCCAATGCACCATCATTTTTTTCCAAGTTACTCAAATAGTCCACTAACTAGTTTTCTGGACTCTAGCCCAGACTGCAATTGTAATTTTTCTACAGGGTAAAATCTGATGACTTCATTTTTTTTTTTTTTTTAAATTTTCTTCTTATCCCAACCCCCAATGCTTCTGGTTGTTTTCAGGACTAGGTGTAAACATGTAAACCGGCCCCATGTGGACTTTTCATAATCTAGCCCTGCCCACCTGTGTGATCATCACAGCGCCTTCTACGTGAAGTGTATGCTCTAGAAAACAGGATTACACTTTTTAGGCAGTCCATGCTTTCACTTGTCTTAATATTTCTATCAGAACACTCGCTTCCCCTTTGTGTAGTCAATTCCATTTATCATTAAGGTTTCAGCTACTTCCTCCAGAAATTATTTCCTGACTTCCCCAGATTGGAAGGGGTTCTTAGTGTTTCACAAGATGCTGTACATAACATTCCTTTGCTCTGTGGGGAGTCTGCTTCTCCCTCTCCCTCTGCCCCCTCTACTTGTGCTCTCTCAAATAAATAAATCTTAAAAAAAAAAAGACAGCTTATTTCTTAACAAAAACATGTATTATTTTAAATATTATTAACAATAAGGTAGTTAATACCAGTTGCTCCAAGAACATAAACATAATATTCCCATGACTTATTTCATAGCTGAAAGTTTGTACCTTCATCCATTTTGCCCATCCCCCACCCCCAACTGACGGCCACCACCAGTCTGTTTTCTGTATCTATAAGCTCAGGTTTTATTTTTTCTTATTTGCTTTTATTTTAATTCCAGTTACTTAACATAGTGTTATATTAGTTTCAGGTGTACAGTATAGTGACTCAACAGTTCCATACATCACCCTGTGCACATCATGACAAGTATACTCCTTAATTCCCATCACCTATTTCACCCATCCCCCCACTCTCCCCTTTGGTAACCATCAGACCGCTCTCTATAATAAGAGTCTGTTTCTTGCTTTGTCTCTCTCTCTTATTTTTTTCCCTGTCTGATTTGTTTCTTAAATTCTACATATGAGTAAAGTCATGGTATTTTTCTTTCTCTGATTGACTTACTTCACTCAGCATTATACTCTCTAGCTCCAACCATGTCATTGCAAATGGCAAAATTTCATTTTTATGGCTAAATAATATTCTATTGTATACATATACCACATCTCCTTTATCCATTCGTCAATTGATGGACACCTGGACTTATTCCATATCTTGGCTATTGTAAATAATGCTGCTATAAAATCAGAATGCACGTATCCCTTTGGATTAGTAGTTTTTTTTATTCTTTTGGTAAATACCCAGTAATTCGATTGCCAGATCGTAAGGTAGTTCTATTTTTTTAAGACTCCACATATAAGTGATCTCACATATTTGTCTTTCTCTGTATGACTTATTTCCTTTAAGCATAAATGCCCTCAAGGTCTATCTATGTTGTTGCAAGTGGCAAAATTTCCTTCTTTTTTATGGCTGAATAGTATTCCTGTGTGTGTGTGTGTGTGTGTGTGTGTGTGTACACACCACAGTTTTTTTTACCCATT